TAGTTTTGAGATCAGATTTTGGCCTAAAATGCATTTTTTTTAATCCTTTCATGGCAGAGAGGTACATGTTCTAAGCCAAAATGGCCCCAAAAGAAAACATAATTTTTCAGATTTTTCACTATTTTACCATCATCATCATTACAGTCAGTAAGTTTCTCTACAGTGAACCATTTCACATCAAACCACTCTGAATGACTTTGTTTCCATCTCAACGATTTAATTATGCAGAACTTTAGAAAATTCTCCTTTAATTGCATGAATAAGATAATTGGTTAGCTTACTACAAACCTCCAGGTTGTATTTTTTGTAAACTGTCCTGTTAACCTCCATGATTTTGGGAGCTTTTGGAATCAATCTAGATAAACAGTACTGAATATTTAACATGGTATTTTATAAGGTAAATTCAGGAAGAGTAGAACACTTTTTGGCCAACACCTGAAAAACTCCATCAAAACTACTCACCTACAACCTAAATGTTATCGTTTAATTTACTAAATGAATATTTACATTTTTAATTTAGAACTATTCTTTCAAAACTATCTGAAGCACACAGCAAATGACATACGCTGCAGTTAAATCAGGTCCAAGATCATTTTAATAAAGTAACGGATCACAAAATAAAGTACCTGGCAACACTGTTTAATTGATGTTTTACTGATATTTTATTGATCATGTATTAATTATTTGCTCTAAAAATATTGCTAAAGCTGAAAAGAAATATCATATGTCAACATATTGATATAGGATAATATATAATAACCAGTACTGTGTTATAAGTATATACACTAAATGGCCACCCTCAGGTGTTTCAGCCACGCCCTTTGCACACAGGTGTATAAAATAATGCACATAGCCAGTAGAAAGGGTCATACTGAAAAGCTCAGTGGCATTAAACGTTGCACTGTTATAGGATGCCACCTTTGCCACAAGTACGTTTGTGAAGTTTGTCTCCTGCTAGATCTGCATCTAGATGCTAGATGGAAGCATGTAGGAGCAACAATAGCTCATCCATGAAGCACGAAAAGCTGTAGCACGGAAAAATCGCCTATCCTCTGTTGCGTCACTCACTACAGAGTTCCAAACTGCCTCTGGAAGCAACATCAGCACAAGAACTGGAGTTGGGAGCTTCAATAAATGGGTTTCTGTGGCTGAGTAGCTGCACACAGGCCTAAGATCACTATGCGCAACGCCCCATGGACCCTCACAGAGCAGGTACTATTTGGGTGGTGGATCATTCTCAGCACTGCAGTAACCCTGACGTGGTGGTGGTGTGTTAGTGTGTGTTGCGCTGGTACGAGTGGATCAGACACAGCAGTGCTGCTGGAGTTTTTAAACACCTCAGTGTCACTGCTGGACTGAGAATAGTCCACCAACCAAAAATATCCAGCCAACAGCGTCCTGTGGGCAGCGTCCTGTGACCACTGATGAAGGATTAGAGGATGACCAACACAAACTGTGCAGCAGCAGATGAGCTATCGTCTCTGACTTTACATCTACAAGGTGGACTGACAAGGTAGGAGTGTCTAATAGAGTGGACAGTGAGTGGACACAGTGTTTAAAAACTCCAGCAGCACTGCTGTGTCTGATCCACTCAGACCAGCACAACACACACTAACACACCACCACCACATCAGTGTTACTGCAGTGCTGAGAATGATCCACCACCCAAATAGTACCTGCTCTGTGAGGGTCCATGGGGGTCCTGACCACTGAAGAACAGGGTAAAAGGGGGCTAACAAAGTATGCAGAGAAACAGATGGACTACAGTCTGTAACTGTAGAACTACAAAGTGCACCTGTACAGTAAGTGGAGCTGATATAATGGACAATGAGCGTAGAAACAAGGAGGTGGTCATAACGTTATGCCTGGTCAGTGTATGGTTCCACTTTTGTGGCTACAGGTTGGTGAAGACCCTTTCCTGTTCCAGCATCACTGAGCCCCTGTGCACAAAGCGAGCTCTATAAAGACACAGTTTGAGGAGTTTGGTGTGGAGGAACTCCAGTGGCCTGCACAGAGCCCTGACCTCAGCCCCACTGAGCACCTTCGGGATGAACTGGAACATGGACCGCAAGCTAAGGCTTCTCATCCAACATCCCACAGACTCACTCCAAAATCTTGTGGAAAGTTTCCCAGAATAGTGGAGGCTGTTAAAGACACAAAAGGGAGGTCAACTCTATATTAACCCCACGGTTTTAGAACGAAATGTCCAACAAGCTCGCGTAGGTGTGATGGTCAGCTTGAGTTTCAGCTTGAGTAGGACAGTTTAAGAGAGATATGGTGGGAAGCTGCTTCCACATTTAAAGTACACTATCAATAGCTTATTATCCAAAACTGATGAAAGATTACACACACACACTATCAAGACCTACTCGCTTTATAACCAAAGAACAGGGCAATTATAATAATGACATAATGACATACAGCATTTACATTTTAGAATAGAATTATTATCCTATCATACTTACCATTAGCTTTCATGATGAATTTGATTTGAAATATGGAGCCAAATCAATGAAAAACCTCTAAGCAACATTTGTTCATGTTCACAGATACACATACAGCAACATTCAGAGCACAGTTTGTCACCATTACCTTAATGTTAAGCACTAAAAACAGATTCCTAATAAAAAGAAGATTCCTTTCCAGCCGAATGTACTTGAGAAGTAAAAGTATTTATCATTTAAATACTTCCAGAAAGGTTCAAATCCATCAAACTTTTCTTAGGGCAGGGGTCGCAACCCAAAGAAGAGCCATTTTGTCCTTTCAACAAAAATCCAACCACCTTGAGAGCCACAACGTTTTATGTCCATTTTACCATCTTGGCTGTAAATATGTCTCAATATGTGCTGATGTACTACTGTAGGCTAAAAATATAATAGTAAATAAAATAGTACGACTTTTTTTCTCGAAATATTACGACTTTTTTCTCGAAATATTTTGAATTTTTCCTCGAAATATTACGACTTTTTTTCTCAAAATTTTACGACTTTATTCTCGAAATATTATGAATTTTTTCTCGAAATATTACGACTTTTTTCGAAATATTATGAATTTTTTCTCGAAATATTACGACTTTTTTTCTCAAAATTTTACGACTTTATTCTCGAAATATTACGACTTTTTCCTCGAAATATTACGACTTTATTCTCAAAGTCTACTATTTTTATTTTTATTAACAGCGGCCCTAAAACGCCGTTTTACTTGTAAAATGTCTCTCAACTTTCGACTTTTTACGAGGCTGTTCAAATGTTCCCGTTCCACCTTAAATGGTGCCTGAGGCGACGCTGTTGCCAGGCGACGGACTGAAACTGCTGCACCGTTTAAGGTGGAACGGGACAATTAGAAGGAGAAACCGACTCCAGCTCTGCGACGGTTCAGTGTTCGTCAGTTCCTCGCTGCAGATTAAACGCATCAGGAACCAGCTGGAGTGATTATGAACCCAGATCAGTCCATTAATCTCCAGATTATCGATCTTCATCTTAAACCGCTCTGTTTGTCTTTTCGTCGCTACCAGCTGGGCGAGAGTCTTCTCTGCGTTGCTATGGTGACCAGCAGTCTGCGCTGATCTTCAGGGTTAAAGGGTGAATCAGCAGCTCTACATGAACTCCAGAGTTTAGGATCATTTACTGTTAAACTGTGTTGATCGATCAGCAGAGCTTTATTTTACTGTAGAGGAGGATTATTTTAGTTCACCTACAGATCTGATTCTGCTGTGGAGCCGCTAGAGGGCAGTAAAAGAGCCGTTTGCAGCTCTGGACCCTCATGTTATTGACCGCTGTCTCAGTTAAAGTTTAATGCTATGTTCTCAGTGGAAAACAAATGATCTTTATGAAAACTGTCTTTATTTTTGACATTTTTGCGCAAAAGTCCAGGTAACCTCATCAAGGAATTCAATAAAGGCGCATTACTTTGTTAGTATGAAATATTTTATACGTGGTCAATTTTTCATGCATGCACAAAGACAGTGCAGTCTTAAAGGGGAATTCCACTTACTTTTCAAATTTTATACATAATTACATCATTAAGATACAAACAAAGTCATTCAGAGTGGTTTGGTGTGAAATACTCTGTTCTAGAGAAACTTACAGAGTCAGAATTGTTCACAGTGGTGGTGATAGGAACCAGACGTCCACCTCTAAAAGCTCCCTCACAGAAAGTGATTATGTTATAAGCTGCCTGATGCTGCATGATGATGATGAGACATTGCTGTATGACAGTTTTGGGACATTTTTTGGCCTGAAACCTATTTTTAAAACACATTCATGACTATTTTAGTTGACATCCCATATAGCTAAATAGCAATAATGCATGGCCTTAATGTGTGGGAACGAGATCCTGATGCATGGCCATGAATTAGTAAAGCCATGTGACCAATTAAGTTGTGGCCACGACTTCGTAAGGCGTGGGAATGAGATTGGGCCTTTTTAAGATGTGGTCAAGGATTAATTATCTCATTCCCACGTCTTACTAAGCCGTGGCCACGCATTAGGATCTCGTTTCCACACTCGGCCACGACTTAATTATCTCGTCCCCAAGCCTCACTAAGTTGTGGCCACGACTTAATTATCTCGCCCCCAAGCCTCACTAAGTTGTGGCCACGACTTAATTATCTCGTCCCCAAGCCTCAATAAATCGTGGCCGCGTATTATTTTATTTATATGGAGGTCACCAGCAGGGCTCTGTAATTTTTACATCACATATAAAGACTCAGAGGACTCGTGTGGGTTCTCTGGTGGTTCTGGATAGTAAATAAAATGCCTATATGTGTGTTGTAGTCATGGCGACCCCTGGTTCCCATCACCACCACTGTAAAGAAGTCTTTAAGTTTCTCTACAGTGAATCATTTCACACCAGACCACTCTGAATGACTCTGTTTACATCTCCTCTATTGAATTACACTGAAGTTATGAAAAAGCACTGTAATTCCCCTTTAAGGGCGCGCAGCGGGCTACGAAAACTACAAATCCCATCAACCCGCGCGGTGGCGGTTACTAATGACGTCACCGCCTCGTCGTCCTCCAAACATCCGGCCATGGTTTCAACATTTCGGTGTTTCGGTACTGAATAAGGTCGGTAAACTAAATCCTTCAGTTACTCGCCTAACGCAGAGCCGGTCCTCTGGTTCGGTTCGGTTCCGTTTAAATACGGCATTATCGCTCAACTTGGAGCGCAAGACGCGTGTTTTAAATCGAGCTGGTGATCATAATAATAACAATAATAACAGTATTAATAACAGCGAGGCGGTCAGACTGACTGGTTTAACTGGCTGAATAGCTTTGATCTCATGGTGTCAGACTCATCCCTTTTAGCTAAAACAGTGATAAAACTGGTGTCAGACACCGGGAGACAGGCACAGTTTCCAGACTGGCTGGTTTATTTGTGTGGTTCTTCATATTTAACACTCATTTCGACCTGAGGACAACTCGGATGTGACCTCACACTTAGAAAAGGAGGTTCTTCAAGGGTTCTTTGGTAAAGACAGTGTCTAAAGACAACCATGAGTTCCACATAGAGCCATTTCCGTGCTTAGATGGTTCTTTGCATGGTGAGATGGTTGTTCAGGTTGATGGAGAATGTGTTCGTCTATGGTTCTGTATAGAACCTTTTTGAAAAGGGTTCTGCTACTGTGATGGTGTCAACTTCTTTGGTGCTGTATGAGATGTAAAACAGTCATTCACAGTGGTTTGATTGTTACTGACTCAGTTCTCTTTACAGTGGTGGTGATAGGGAACCAGGGGTCACCAGTGACCACAACACAGATATAGCCATTTATTTACTATCCAAATCCACCAGTGAACCAACACAAGTCCTCTGAGTGTTTATATGTAATGTTGATGATGATGAAATAGTCATAAAACTGAAAAAAGTATGTTTTCTGATAAGTAAAGAAATATTTGATAATGAATATTGTGCCTTATAACACCCTGCATGTGGTCCTCCACCATGCCTGTGTTTTATAAATATATTTTTGGCCATTATCGTAAAAACGACGTCTCAAACATCAGGCAATGTATTCGTAACCATTTCATGATTTCCTGTAACATCTCTCTGTGAGGCATTAAACTCTTCAGACGTCTGGTTCCCATCACCACCACTGTGAACAGTTCTGACTCTGTAAGTTTCTCTAGAACAGATCATTTCACACCAAACCACTCTGAATGCTCTGTTTACACCTGTACTGTTTAATTACCAAGAAATGTTGAAAAATCTGTGAAATTTGTCTTTAGGCTGTCTTGCCTTCCAACAGGCCGCTGCTCCCGGTTTGAGTAGGACATCATTGTGTTCTTATACCATTTCCACATCCAAAAACTCCTCACTTTTAGTTAATGTAAGGCAATTAATACTTTTAGAAAAGATGTTTTTGTAGTGGAGAGTCATTTATTTCATGCTACAGTTACTGCATAAAATATTTTACCTGTGAATTAGTGTCCAGCTGGTTTTTACACTCTTGTTCTATGTGTTATGTGTTATATGTTATGTCTCTAACATGTCTGTACCTAGTAAAGATACTTCCTCTAGGTAGACAACAAAGCGCTTTTTGTAGTCAGTTAACGCTCTGTAGCTGAATGTTTGACTCCTCTTATGTCGTCATCATACAGGTTTGCTGGCAAAGCCTTACCAACTACCTGGTATAGAAGTGTAACGGTCTAGCACCACTTTAGCAACTACCTAAAGTGTTCGATGGCAATGGAAAGGGCAAAACATTAGCGATCACCTGGATACCACAGCAATGGCCTAGCAACACATTAGCAACCACCTGGGATAGCGGAGAAAAACACCTTAACAACCGTCTAGGAAACCATAGCAACAGCCTAGCACAGGGGTGTCAAACTCAACCACTAAAAGGGCCATATTAAACAGTGTCAGCAGATCAGCGGGCCAGAGAACACCGATGTTTTATTTTATTGTAATTAACATTTTGCTGAACTGGCCATTGTTAATTTAAAGTACACCAAAGTGTCAACAACAAAATATAGGCACTTGTAGTGAATATTAGGCACTTGTACTTGAAATATTACATGAATGCTTGAAATATTAAAAATTTAAATGTCCCCAGGAGTTCAGACTTGTAGACCTACCTTGCTTGAACTAAACGCCGGGCATCTTTTCTTTGCTGCAAGTTCTTGAATTCCTGGGCTCAGTTTCTGAGCTGCTGAGCTGACGTTAAGTCTTTATGTTGGTTGGCCTGCAGCTGAACTGCAGTTAGTGTGTTCGGTGATATGACTGGTGTGGAACTGTGTAGAAATGAGCTGTAACCGCTGTCCCATAGATTGTTGTTGGGGTAGGAGAGTCAGAGCGTGCATTGCGGTGCAGTGCATGCTGGGGACTGTAGTGCAGCACGTTGTGAAATTTTAAAAGAAATAAAATACTTTTGCAGGGCCGGATAGGAGTGTGTCGTGGGCCAGATCAGGCCCGCGGGCCTTGGGTTTGACACATGGGGCGTAGCAGCACCTCAGCAGCCACGTAACAACCACCAAGCAATGTCCAACTACCTGGAATTACTACATGAACCCAGTTTAGTTACCAAAAACAATCAACAGGGTTCTGCGACTGTGTTTTCCAGGTTAGTTAAAAAAGGAGTTTTCAGTTGTGGGGGTTGACCTTGCAAAATAAAAATTAAGGTAGAGAGCGTTAAGTTCAGTGTGCCGTGTCTCAGTGGGTGCAGATGATGTCCATTAAAAAAATGTGGATAAAAATGTGTCAAACCTGTCTGATAATCTGGGATTTGTGCTTTTAATTCACATTTGCAAACTCATCCTTTTTTTCCAGGAGAGCTTGTATGTATGGTGATGGAGGACAGCAGCCGTCCAGAGTGTGAATCCAAACCCTGCGCTCCTGCCCGCTCTAAAAAGCCTGACGCGCCGCTCTACGTACCCAAAAAACGTCAGGACCAAGTGGCGGACGCACACGCCAGCCCCCAGCCCAAAGACAACCACCAAACTCCGGGGGACAAGAAATCCAGGCCCAGACCCCGATACACAGACAAGGCGAGAAAATACAACAAGAACAAGAAGGACAAAGGAAGCGGAGATAAAACCAAAGCAGGAGATGAGGGCGTCCCAAACGGTGAGGGAGAACAGCAGGAGAAAGAAGAGGGGGATAAAGAAAACGATGACGCAATGGCCCAAAAGGAGCCGTCAGCTACAGAAGACGAGGAGAACCGGGTCTCCTCTGAAGACGGGAAACCGACAGTGGCCACAGCTAGCAAGTCCAAAACCGTAGAAGCAGAAGAGGCTGTGAAGGAAGAGGAAGAAGGAGAGGACTGGGATTCATTATTTACAGATGAAGGAGACTGTCTGGACCCTCACCTTCTAGAAGAGGTACAACAGTTTGTCTGCCTTCTTATTTAAAAGCTCAGAATGATCCAGATGTTCATGGAGCTCCACTGATTTTCTAAAGTGTTTTATATACTGAAGTCATTAAGATGTAAACAGAGTCGTTCAGAGTGGTTTGGTGTGAAAAGCTCTGTTCTAGAGAGTCAGAACTGTTCACAGTGGTGGTGATAGGAACCAGACGTCTGAAGAGTTCAATGCTTCTTCCAAATAAAGTATTACGGGTATCTGAGACATTGTTCTGAGGGAGTCTGAGAAGGTTTTGGCCTAAAGCACATTTTTATCTTATCTTCACACAAAATAGTCCCCAAACAAAACTCTTCACATTTCACTATTTTACCATCATCATCATCATCACATATAAAACTCAGAAGACTTGTGTGGGTTCACTGGTGGTTTTGGATAGTAAATAAAATGGCTGTATTTGTGTTGTAGACATGGTGACCTGGTTCCTATCAGCACCACTGTACAGAAATCAGAGTCTAAGTTTCTCTACAGTGAACCGTTTCACACCAAACCACTGTGAATGACTCTGTTTACATCTCAGCGACTGCACTGTGCAGAAATTTTTAAAATTCAGTGGATTTCCCCTGTAAATAATCAAATAACAGAGATGTGGTTTCGGACACTGTATGACATTCTGTTAGTTACCTGGACTAAAGTACATTAGCATGGCTAAAAGCATTACCAGCAGCCAACTGGATGCCTGAATTTTAGTTTATTATTACTTACATCATGAAATCTGATTTTCTGAATCGCCATGGTTACCAGGGTTAACAAGTATAAAGCTAGAAAAAAGCACCATTTTCTGTCAGACTGTCTCTGCTAGGGTGGCCCACTGTTTTTACCTAATATTTATTGCTGTATTAGCTGTTGATTTCCTGATAGTACAGAAGGCTGCAGTATGGAAAAGAGCCCTCTAACCAATCAGAGTGTGTGCTACTGTGTGTGATAAGCATCCTGACCAGTCTCAGCTCCATATTCTTCTGTGGGTGTGTCTGTGAATTAGGGTATTCCTATAACTATAATATACATTATTTTGGTCAAAATAATGAATTTGTCAGTTTTGTAAACGTATGTTAAGACACAGCGCATCTAGAATTTGGAGCATTATAATTACAAGACTAGTTATTTTGTTCATATTGTGCTGCCCTAATATGTACTTACTGTTCCAGATCTCTCAGAAGGCGGGGCGTGAAAAGACGTCCATTCAGGATCCACAGTTCAACTATTATAACTGGTCTCCAGAGGACGACGAGGTGGAGCTTCGGGAGGACGAGCTTTCGCACATCGTAGAAATCTACGACTTTCCCTCTGAGTTTAAAATGGAGGATTTAATCAGGGCGTTCAGCTCCTACCAGTGAGTCTGTCCGGAATTCTGATTAAATGAACAGTGTGAGATAAAATATATATGAATATATTTATTCAGTCTTTGCAAAAATGAAGTGAACATGAAGTGAAAATGAAAGAAACAGGAGGAAAAAATGAACGAATGAAATAAGAGGATGTCGTAATAGGCTGATTCCCAGTCAGCTGCTTGTTCCTATGCTGGTTATGTAGTTACTGTACGCTGGTTTTTGTTTACAGGCTCTCAGTAACTGATCTAAATCTGTCTTTATGATACATGCAACTATTCAGTGTTCTAGAATATAGCAGTGCTGTAGAATGAAGCAGTGTTCAGGAATAAAGCAGTGTACCGTAGACTTCTAGAGCACAGCAGTGTTCAGGAATAAAGCAGTGTACCGTAGACTTCTAGAACACAGCAGTGTTCAGGAATAAAGCAGTGTACCGTAGACTTCTAGAACACAGCAGTGTTCAGGAATAAAGCAGTGTACCTTAGACTTCTAGAGCACAGCAGTGTTCAGGAATAAAGCAGTGTACCGTAGACTTCTAGAGCACAGCAGTGTTCAGGAATAAAGCAGTGTACCTTAGACTTCTAGAGCACAGCAGTGTTCAGGAATAAAGCAATGTTCAAGAATAGACTTCTAGATTAAAGCAGCGTTAAGAAATAAAGCTGTGTTATACAGTAGAATTCTAAAATAAAGTAGTGTTCAGGAATAAACCAGTGTTCTAGAATAGAATCCTTGAATGAATCAGTGCTCAAGAGTGGAATTCTAGAATACAGCAGTGTTCAGGAATAAAGCAGTGTTATACAGTAGCATTCTAGAATAAAGCTGTTCCAGAATATATTGTTCTCGAATGAAGCTGTGTTCTGGAATGAAGCAGCGTTCTAACTGATGCAGGGTTGTAGAATGAGGCAGAACTCTGTGATGAGGCAGTGTTCTAGAAGTATTGACGGTTCCCATGCCCTACTCCAGAAAGCGTATTCAGGTGTGAACTGGTTCAGTAACAGTAGTATATGGTGGTTTTGTCCACGTCTAGAATGAGTTATAACTTAATGCCTATCAGCTTTTTCAGAAATGTCTTTGTTAATGTCACCAGAACAGAACAGGGTCCAGTCCATTGTATCACTAAGTTCTGTGTGTGTGTAACTGTTCTAGGCAGAAAGGGTTTGACATAAAGTGGATCGATGACACACACGCTCTGGGGCTGTTCTCCAGTCCGATAGCAGGTCAGTCTTGAAATAAGAAAAACTAAATCAGACGCTAAAAATGAATTTGATACCTTTGATACCCCTGTAAATGTATCAGAAACCTGTGGACTGTTTGTCACACGTTTAGTGTGTGTGTGTGTGTGTGTGTGTGTGTGTGTGTGTGTGTGTAGCGCGTGATGCTCTGAGGACCAAACACCCGATGCTGAAGGTTCGTCCTCTCTCCAAATCTTCCTCGGCCACTAAAGCCAAAGCCCGTGCCTCCTCCGGTACTCCTCTAATCTCCTTATTTACAGACCTCGTTTAAGTTTATTTACAGCTCTTTATTTTACTCTGTTTATCTTTATCTCACTCACTGAATTGTAGCTTTTGCATTTACATTGCAGGTGCAAATTTTTTGACATCACAAAGATTCAATTCTGATCGTTTAAGAAATGATTCTTTATGATTTCCCTGTGATTGTGTTTAGTTTGTTTTGATACGATTAATAATCCTTTTTTTAATTAGCTGGAGGAGCTGTTTACACTGTAGTGGAACATAAACAGTAAAAACAATACACTAAAAACTAAACTTTTTAGCCTGAGAAATCAGTGCATTTATATTAAATATTATTATAATCAATCATATTCAATTCCATAATCACCTTCAGATCACTCTTATACATCATCACTTACTTTTTGATTTCATTCTCTCTCTCTCTCTCTCTCTCTCTCTCTCTCTCTCTCTCTTTGTAGATTACCTCCTCCCCGCTAAAGAGCGTCCTCAGACTAGTGCGGCTCTGGCCCGTCGTTTGGTGATTGGTGCTTTAGGAGTGAAGAGCGGTCAGAGCCGAGAGCAGCGCGAGGCTGAGAGGAACCAGCTACGGGAAGCCAGAGGTGACACAGCACGTTCAGCTGCAAGCCTAGACCTCATAGGTCCACTAACAGCCTCACTCCCCCTAGATATCCAACCACACTCACTTTTCACTTCATTACAAACGGGAACCCTGGGTCCACTCACTGGCCACTTTATTAGAAACACCCATCTTGTACTTCCACTCACTGGCCACTTTATTAGAAACACCCATTTTGTACTTCCACTCACTGGCCACTTTATTAGAAACACCCATCTTGTACTTCCACTCACTGGCCACTTTATTAGAAACACCCATCTTGTACTTCCACTCACTGGCCACTTTATTAGAAACACCTACCTTGGACTTCCACTCACTGGCCACTTTATTAGAAACACCCACCTCATACTTGCACTCACTGGCCACTTTATTAGAAACACCCATTTTGTCCTTTCACTCACTGACCACTTTATTAGAAACACCTACCTTCTACTTCATTGGTCAGTTTCTGATCACAGGACCGCTGTTGTCCTGATATTATTTGAGTGGTGGTCATTCTCAGCACAGTAGTGTGTGTGTGTGTGTGTGTGTGTGTGTGTGTGTGTGTGGTGCTGGTGTGATTGTATCAGACACAGTCCTGTTGCGAGTGGTGAGCATTTACACGTCAGTGTCACTGCTCGGTTGAGAGCGGACCACCACTCAAACATCCAGACGAGTGGAGTTGTCTGGTCAGAAACTGACCACTGGCAAAGGGCTAGAGGATCAGCTACAGTCTTCAACTGTACGCCAGCAAGGTGGAGCTACATGAGAGGGGTTTCTGATAAAGTGGCCAACAAATAAATATTGCTCAATGACGGTTTTCTGTTTGGTAAATCTGCTTCATGAATTTGATGAAGTTATTTTCTGTAGTATTTTAATGTGGTTCAGATTAAGTTTTACTGAATCACCATTGACTGGAGGAAAGTGTCTGCATGTTCGAAATACAAATGAAATACATTTCTTTATTTTAAATGTTTTAAATTTGAAGTTCGAGTTTCCACACCTCAGTCGTTTGTCATACGATCCCAAACCGTAGATCCCAGAAAGGCACAGAGAGAGATACACATCTACATGCGTAAGATAATGTGTCTAGGAATGCTGGGTAAACTGAATATACTGTTTCTGAATTCTGCTTTTCAGAGCAAAAGCGTTTGGCAGCGAAGCAGCGAGAGGACGCGTGGGAGGGGAGGTGAAGCTGACGGAGGGATGCATGTGCCTGTGCTCATGTTCTGCCCTCCTCAGAGCTCCATCTAGACACATCGAGGGATTGAGTCTACAGCTGCCTCGGTTTTTGACCCAGTCCTTAAGGACCACCAGTCAGTCCACGTTTTAGTTCTGTTTTTAGCTTGTAGCACATCTGACCCAGAAGAAAAGCTTGTAGTAGAGGAGAGCAGGACACACCCACACACTGTGGTTTCTGTTTGCTGAATAGTTTTAAGTATTTGACGATTGAGTGCAAACTGTGTAATTTATCTTATAGATGGGGTCAGTTGTACGACGGCGTTTTAGAGCCACTGTTAATAAAAATAAAAATAGTCGACTTTGAGAATAAAGTCGTACTATTTGGAGGATAAAGTGGGCTAACTGTAGGGGGGCTAACTGTAGGGAGCTGCCATAACGCGGGGGGTCTCGGTTGCTGTACTGGCGCCGGAGCTCCACTCACTCCTGTCTCTCTGTGGATCATTTTGATCATCATTCTCACTGTCTGTGAAACTTCATGCCCTCTTTGAATGGGGGGAGATGTAGCCCCCGATAGCCGTGTAGACGACCCTGCCTGAGATTCTCCTTCAACAACACAGACAGTTTCCTCCGAGTCCGTCCGGCTCTTTATTCTAGATAAACTCAGTTTCCTGCTCAGCTGTTTCAGCCGGTTCTTATACTAGTAACAGGCTGGTGCTGATGTGCAGGAGAGACAGGGAGACTGAGTGTTTATTTATGGGTGAATCGATATGAAACTATAACTCCACCTCCTCACCGCCCCTCATTTAACACCAGGAGGGGCTGCTTCACTTCGCAAAGCCTTTGGCCACAATATTGTGACCTTTCCTGGTATTAATGCCCCTTTAATGTCGTAATTCTACGACTTTTTTTCTCGAAATATTACGACTTTTTTCTTGAAGTCCACTATTTTTATTTTTATTAACAGTCGCCGTCGTACAGTTGTAACTTTTTGCCCCATGTTATGTTGTGTCTGTGCTTGATTTACCTGTGCTCAGGTGTATTAGGAGCTTGAACAGAACAAAAATTCAGGCTGGTGGTTCTGAGAACTGAGTGTAAAATCTCCTATTATCTTATTTTAGCCAAAGTCCAGCCCACAGTCATTCAACCAAACAAACTAAAATGGACAAACAAGCTCAGTGAAACGTTTAAGGACGCGGTAAATTAACCCAACAAACACCAGTGTAGTACTGTTACCAACTGCCTGTCTATGATCCGCCTACTCAGATAGCAAGAGGATGGTGGGCCACTGTCGGCCCGCTGATGGCAAAGCTGGCGGTCCACTGGCTTTTTTGCTCAGCGTTTCCTGGGCGGCCCACCGGTGGTTAAGCAGAGTATTAGACCAAATCTTTTTAGTAGTTTTCCACTCACAGTCCAGTCGACTTATCGACCTTCATTTCTTTCTTTCGTTATTCTTTGTGAATTAGTTTAGTAAATAATTTTACCAGTAAAGTCATGAATAGAGCAGGTTATCCAGCTGTAATCAGTCCAGCGCTGTCTATTTTCAACAAGGTCATTTTATTTTCGCCCTAGTCATTTTTTTCTCTCAGTAGTTTGTAATATTTGTTTACTATCCAAAATAAAAGACTTGTGCATTGGAAATGTGTTTGAGGAGATTAAAACTAGTCAGACCTCGTATGCAGGACAGTGATCTGGGTGGACGTACAGTCAGCGGGGTGCTGACCTCATCCAGCCAGCGGAGCAGTTTATCTTGCTATCTGCGTACAAATGAGCTCTTCTGTAGCTTCTGTTGCTCAAAACAATATAACAGTGCAGGTTGGATTAGCTTTACAGAACGTTGACGAACGTCCCTTTCAGCCCAGTGAGAAACTGTTTAGAGTCGCTGTACAACACTGAGTGTGTTTACATGCAATAATCTGATCATAATCCGATTCTGCAGTTACCTGATTATTCAAATGGTCATGTAAACAGCACACTCTGATTTCTTAGATCAGAGTAAGGTCTAGAAATCCGATTAAGAAATCTGATAAAGGGAGCTGGATTTTAGCTCAGTAATCAGATTTCTCAGTGCATGTGAACTCTTACTCTGATTTCTTTCGGATTTCTCAGTCTGTGCTAAAACAGACAGCGGTACCGGAAATAAGCGAGGCAGGAAAACGCTTTTGGAGCGACGCTGAAATCAAATACATGCTTGACGAAATGAAGGATTTAAATATTCTTCATCTTCTAGACGATGTTTGTTCATATTTTCAGGTAAAAAAGCCGCAGCATGATGTTTGAGTTACTGTCCGACTCATGTAGACCCGGAGTTTTCACATTATCTGATTACTCAAGTGCATGTAAATGTGTTGATCGGATTACTGACAAAACCTGGTTTTCCACAGTTATTAGATTATTAAAAACACGCTCCAGTTTAAAATGCTGCACTGCGTTACGACGAATCACAACTACAAAGCTTGGAAACAGTGACTGAATTCTATCGTACACTTGATTACATAATGAAAACGAAAACACTCAGCCTGTCCTGAAGCTGAAATTCCACACACAAGCAAAGTCAGTATCACTTGAAATGTTTTAAGTTAGGTATTCTAATAAAAACTGAGGGCTGCAGTTTCTCATTGGGTTAAATATTGTTTTAGCTGTGTTCTGCAAAGCTGACCCAGCAACAGTTGCTACGAAAGGACTGGGCGGAGCACAGACGGGTCAGACGTGCAGTCTGCTGTAATGACCAGCAAGGAGTCGTTTTATAATCTTAATCACCTTAGTTCAGTTCATGCCGTCCCACCTCCATCACTAATGTGAGCGATTCCTGTTCAGCGCCAGTTTCCCTTCTGTAAACCACCCTGAGGTAACGGCTGACTTTTGTGTTCTTTAAAAGTGTCTGGACTTGTCCTGTAAATACTGTAGTCTTCACTGCGTTCAAAGAGCTTTAAAATCAGCAAATTGTGCTACAGGCTTTCTGTTGTTCAGGTACCAAATAAGAATCGGGGGCTGTCGACAGCCCCGTCTGCGCGTGCAGCTCGTTCGGTTTAGTGATGGTGTTTTTTCACTGCTGTACAGATTCGTAACCGTGATTTGAATAAAATGAACATTTATAACTGTTGTGTCTGAGTGACGTAACCTTCTTTCCCTGCATCTGTACCAGCCTTTCGGGAACAGTGTCCCATTTGTGTAATCATAAGACTGATTCTGAAATCTGATTGGCTAAGCCACGTTCGTGTGCAAATGTTTGAACACCCCACGTTTTGTTGATTGTCAGTAAGTCTAAGGAGAAACACTTAAACATGGCTTTTTCTGCTCATTTTAGTGCACAATTTTTAGTTATTTGCTGAGTTTTACACATTATTAATGATATTTTATATATATATATATATATATATATATATATATATATATATATATAATCACTGTTGTCGGAACAAAACCTTGTATCTCCAAAATGGTGACTTTACAGGAGAAGGAAAAAACCTACTTTACTTTTAATGTAAGTCAATGGAACCCGAGTCATTTTGGGTCGTTTCTTTTGGTCCATTCATCATGAAATTTACACACAATGTAAAGAGTAACAGGTATTTTCAAATTATGACAAAAACTGAAAAACTACAAAAATGGAGATACGAGGTTTTCTTCAGCGACAAGGTGTTTTTTAATACGTTAAAATGTATCTTTTACAGTGATGAAGGCGAATAAAAGCCAGCATGAGGAATGGAATAAAAATTTAAAAAGAGCAAATTCTAAAAATAAATGGTTCTAAAAACCAAAAAGTCACAATGAAAAAAAGCATTAAAGATGATAATGAGGTGAGACAAGAAGAATTTGTAGCACATAAAAAAATATTAGCTTATAAAAAGTCAAATTATACCACAACTAAAACTTGGGGAACGTCTGAAGTTAAAAAATAAGATTAAATAAATATAGAATGAGCCAGGACTTTCGCACAGGCCACGTTTTGTGTTCTCTGTAGAGGACGTGTTCACTTTTTTTCTACTTAGAAAATTAAGTTTCAAAATTAACATGGAATTAGTCTTGGGGTGCCAAAACTTTTGCACACGACTGTACATGTATGACCGACTGAGTTCAACAGAATTCAGTGTTTATGCACTAAATTATTAAAGCCACTGTGCTCTTATTGTAATAGTCATGTTGCTGGGCAGCCATAGCCCACTGTTGACTAACTGCACTGCCTGGTTTGTGATGTTTATTGACAGATGATTTATTGAGGACTGGTTTAGTTTAGAGTCCCTGGTTTATAAAAGCAATGAAGACACGCATCACAGTCATTTTAACACTGTTAACCCATTAATGTCACAATCTGAAGTGTGAAATTTCCTTTGAAATTACACAGATAGTAATTATCTATGAAGTCTGTTTGCTTCTGTATGATCATAGCAGGTTTTGGTAGTTTATAAGATACTCAGTGATCCTCCCACATACCCAGTGTGTTTGTCAAGAAAATTACATAATCAGACAGAGTTTCACATTAAATACGTCTGCGTGTGAAGCAAATTTGCACATTCACTGTTGGTTTTGACCTTTACATGCTCACTCTGATGTGGTGAGTTGTTATAACTCTTAATGAACTTCATCAGAAATTCAGAAAAACTTTAATACAGCAGGTTTGGGGGGACCGGGACCCTAACATTCATTTAAAATTAAACTTTTTACTAGCAGGAAATAAATTGTTTACCATCAATAAATTATTAGTAAACATAATTCTTGACATTAGCAAAAATTCATAGCTTTTCCAAAACTTACTCTTATACATAAGAATAGTTCCCACAGGGTTAAAATGTCTGCATAATTCAGTGGTTTGAGATGTAAACAGAGTCATTCAGAGTGGTTTGGTGTGAAATGGTTCACTGTAGAAACTTAGACTCTGACTTCTTTACAGTGGTGCTGATAGGAACCAGGGGTCACAGTGTCTACAACACAGATATAGACATTTTATTTACTGTCCAAAACCACCAGTGAACCCACATGAGCCTTCTGAGTGTTTATATGTATTATAGTTTTCTTTGGAGACTATTTCACTCTAGAACACTCATGTATCCCTCCACCATAAACAGATTAAAATAAATAATCATTTTAGACCAAAACTTTATTACAAAACTACCATACACTGAGTCTCAGACATCAGGCAGTGAATTCATAACCATTTAATGTAATAACTTTGTGATGGAGCTTTCAGAGGCATTAAACTCTTCAGACGTCTGGTTCCCATCACCACCACTGACCAATTCTGACTTTTCTAGAACGGAGCATTTCATACCAAACCACTCTGAACGACTCTGTTCACATCAGAAACATTTATGCAGGAATTTTGAAAAATCGGTGGAGTTCCCCTTTAAAAGCTTCCTCAGACAACTTTAAAACCCCTCAGCTTTGAGCTACAGTTGCTCGGTAGCGCCACTTCTCCCCTACTGGACAAAAAGCGAGCTGCATCCCTTTGATCACTTTTGGATTTTATTGAAACATGTTACAGAAAGAAAAACCAAAGTTACACAGGGTCGCTGCACCTGATGACAGTTTTAGTGAAATGTAATCACATTATGGTAATAATACGCCACATCATGAGCTCCTATAAACTAAAAGTAGACTGCACTCTGCTGACTCAGTAGCAAAGTGAGCGTAGACAAAGAACGGTCTGCATATCTCCTTTTATTGTGAAGTTTTTAAAAACAAGCAGTAAAAAAGAAAAACAACAAAAAAACCAAGCGTTCAATATATATATTTATACATCAGGGCTTCTTGAACTTGAACTGAAGGAAAAAAAATGACTTGGAAAAGAACAGGACGTCAAATAGGAAGAACCACTCACACAGACAGACAGACACACGTAATCGGTACCTCATTCAAACTGTAGGACGACCATGCAGTCAGTCGAGCACACGCACCTTCGAAAGGAAACAATAAAAGCTCAGAGTGAAGACGCTGGGAATGTTTCAAACTCAACTAGAAAACTCATTTTAAAACAAAATTAAAAGTCTAAAAAGGGGGGAAATAAAATAAATTTGTACACAGACGTGTTTAAATGCAGTAATAACACCTGAATGTTTAACGGACCGTTGTTATCGCTTTATTACTAACATCTTATTAAAAAAAAAAAAAAAAAAACCCAAACAAAAGCAAACAAAAAACAAAAATAAAATGCAAAAGACATGAAGTGCAAGTCCATTTGCAGGATGGAGGTTAGCCAGTGATGATGCGACACGTTCCCTTTAGTTTCCCTGGCGACGGTTTTAGGATCACATTTAGGAGGTGAGGATGAGAGGAAGAGATGAAGCGGTGAGGAGGAAGAAGTCGGCTACGCTTGGTTTTAGTCCATTTCAGCAGAAAAAAGGAGGGCAGAGCGCAAAACCCAACATTTTAAACACAAAACAAAAATTAAAAAGGCTTCTTTTTGTTCATTGTCACCTGGAAGAGGAAGATAAAGAATTGATGAGGGAAAACGTGGGGAAAATAAAGGGGGGAGGGCAGGAGAAGTGGAAGTCATCGAGGTGGAGGAGTGGGGGGGACCAGTGAGCTGAGAGTTTGTCCAAGTTCACTTCACTGCGCCTGAAAAACAAGAAAACAGCATCAACAAAATCTGAATTAAGAGTTTTTTTTACTACTTATAAACTACATTTTTGAACAAAGCAGTTTTTTTTGGCCAATCTTTATTTTTAATAAACGTGTAACCAAGTGCAACGTACAAATAAACAAAAACAAACAAACAAACAAACAAACAAACAAACAAACAAACAAACAAACAAACAAACAAAAGTACAAAGCAATAAAGTGAGAAAAAATAATTAAAAACAAAAAACGGATCTAATAGTAACCAAGACATGGTTCTACGATGAATAAAAAATATTCTATATACCTAAAAAAAGGCATGTTTTAAGCTCTCACCCATTCGGGCTGTGCTCTGAATGAGCTTGCACATCCAACAGTAAAGGAATTATAGTGCTTCTTTTATGTATGTACAGCGATAGAAAACATAGAAAGCACCAATTCTACTACTGAAACATTTTACTGTGTGCAATACGGACGTGTCCCAGTATATGAACGTGTGCTGATGTATGTAAATTTATTTATTTATTTATTATTTATGAGGTAAATTTATTTTACAGACATTTGAGTATTTTAGTTGACACTTAAGGCTCTGAATTTCTTATCTGATTTATTATCAGACCTGTACTTTTATCCGTTTTATAGTTAATAATGCGTCATATGGTGATAAGATTCCTTTACTTAGCTGCATTAACTTCAAAGCAAAACTTCAGCTACCTAAATGTGTCCTGCATTTCCGCTACATCTGCCCGTGTCTGTGTTCATGCATACCTGCTGGCCCTGCGGTGCAGCTGCAGGCTGGCCTGCTGTCTGTGCGGTTTGGCCGTAATAAGCAGCGTGTTGTCTATAATACTCCGCCCAGGCGGCGCTGTAATCAGTCTGTCCTGCTGCAGCTCCTGCCGCCGCCGGAGCAGCCCCTGCTGCTGGAGCAGCGCCACCACCCTGCTGAGCTACAGACACAAACATTTACTGTATTACTTACAACGAAAACAGTCCAGAGACGGTAAAAACAAAACCTGTACCAATTAATCAGGAACTACCGCCGTTATTCACAGCAACATTAACAATATTCAGAAAGACCAACGCTGAAGAACGGAGTCAGTTCCTTGTGTCATTCACCTTTCATCATTCCTGCCTCATGTCCACAGTGCTAACATCCATCTACCCATCATTTATTCATACAAGCTTTAAATGAATTAAGTCCCAAATCAAAGTTGAATAAATAAACGGACTGAGATTAGTTTCCCTTCGTTTTGTGTCCAAATGCTCTCTCACCCATTTTCTTGTAGTACTCTTCCCAGGCTTTGGTGTAGTCGGGCTGTCCTGTGCTCTGGGCTGCTTGGCTCTGGTCTGCGGGGGCCGGAGCAGCGGGCTGTCCGCTGGGCGCCTGACCGGGCATGGCGCCTCCTGCAGGCTGCTGGTAGTACTGCGCGTAGTAGGCTGCCCAGGCTGCACTGTGGTCTGCTGCTGCCTTACCTACAAAACAGGGAAAAGAAAGAATAAAAAGATAATCACTTATTCACTTGACCTTATTTTAAATCAGGTTAAAAGAGACGTGTATGCGTAATATAAAAACTGATCTATTTTATTTATTTACATTATTTGAAAAACACCAGCTGCTTTTTTATATTGTGCACATTTCACAACAGACTAACAGAATCTGTTCAAAACATTAACAAACACTAAAGAACATTTTTCCCCTTAAGAAGTTACAACAGTGACTAATATTGATAAAAAGAGTCCTGCATGAGCTACAGAGACTATATTTGACTCAACAAAATCTGGCTGAGGGAAACAGAGGAAAGCGGATTCTTACTGGGGTCATGGGGCGCGGGCGGCTGCCACTGCTGGTAGGTGTTTCCCCAACCCTGAGGAGGGTACTGATGAGCACCTGGAGGACCACCACTGCACAAAAAAACCACAAACACACACACACACACACACACACACATACATTATACATCAGGCGGACTTTACACACATCCAAGCTGTGCATGAAAATTCAAACCCAGTGGATCCTGTCCAATCTGGCAACCCTGAGCATGTTGCTGAGAATGTTTGAGTGCTGGAGAGCAGTGAAAACTGTCTTAACTGCACTGCCTTAACTGGAAACAGCTTTTTGGCGAACCTGTCAGTGAGCAAGGGTGTGACCAGATTCTATATGATTGATATAAAACCACTTCATAAACAAACACATGCTAAACTCAGCTGTTTTGGTCTGAACACTAAGTTTTTCTGCTCCAGAACAAAAACATGTCCCTACATAAAAAGGCGTTAAAATACCAGCTATTTCTGTTTTCTCATGTTCCACTTTTCAAATGCATCACATTTCATTAAATATTCATCGCAGCCCTACAGTTACCAGCTCAGCCTGGCACACACCTGGTAAGAGGCAATCCATTCAATCACACCGTCTAATTTTGACACCAGTGTGTATTTTGGCTCTTTAACGTACAAAATGTAGTTCTGTTAAGAAATTAAACGAGTGCCACTGACAAGTACACAGAGACAAAAGGTACTGACCATACTGAACCACAGCTTTATAAGCCAGACAGTAAATAAGGTGTAGAGTTAAAGATACTGACTGTGGTGGGGCTCCTGGGGGTCCAGGCTGATATGGATTTGGGTTGTAGGGGCCCATTGGACCAGCTGGACCAGGGACCACCAGGACCAGGACCTACAGGACACAAAGGACCCTAAAAAAAAATGAAATGAACACAAGTGAGACCAAATCACAACTACCCAACCATTTGCTTATTCCATAAATAGACCAAAGATAAACATTAAAATATTCTCAGGTATCAAACTCTTCCACAGAATTACTCATTTGATCCAGCTCCAAGTCCCCCCAGTACCTCGATCTTGTCCTCGATGAGCTGCTTGGCATGGTCTATCTGTTGGGGCGTCCCCCGGATGGTGAACAGTTTGAAGTTGGGGTCTCCGTTGGGCGGAGGTTGGCGCGAGATCTCCACGAACGCGCCCGTCTGCTGGTTAATCGCCTTCACATTCTCACCTCCTCGACCAATCACGAGGCCACATTTGTGAGCTGGGATAGAGAAGGTCATCTCACCGCCAGGAGGACCCCAGTTACCTGGACCGCGCCCTCGGCCACGCCCACCTGGGGGCATACCTGTGCCAGGAGGACCAGGGGGTCCCTGAGAAAAAACAGACACAGTCAAGTGTTACAAACATTGATTTACAGCTGACCGATTTGCCCACAAGAGTCACTCTTACTGCTTCATCCAAGAACTTTTGGGACCAGTTACTCACAAAAAAACACAGAATTAAAACTTAGAAAAATAAAACAGAGCTAATAAAGTAGAAAAGAAAACTCTTCACTGTCTGAATTTCAAAGCCATTTTATATACAAACGGCAGCACAAAGTGTTAAAGACTGGCTTTTTTACATAACTGAATTACTACATTTCCCCCAGATGAACTACCTCTAAAATAAGCAAGTAAGCAAAACAACAACCCCCCAACCCTGAGGCGCACAGCCCTAATCCACATTCACTCTCTGCAGCACACGGCGCTCACCCCTCCGCCCTCCTCTCGAACGCGGATGCTCTGTAGGAGGTCGTTGATGATGCTGGCCGCGTGTTCACAGCAGTCCGGAGGCCCCATGATGTGAGCGATCTTATCAGGTCCGTTACCGTCATCTAACACACAAATCAACACTGTGTAAGGTAAACGAGAGAGAGAGAGAGAGAGAGAGAGAGAGAGAGAGAGAGAGAGAGAGAGAGAGAGAGAGAGAGAGAGAGAGAGAGAGAGAAAGAAAGAAAGAAAGAAAGAAAGAAAGAAAGAAAGAAAAGGAGAGGAAAAAAAAAGCGGTAGAGAGAAAGAGGGGAAGAGAAAGAGGGGAAGAGAAAGAGAAAATAGGAAAAGAGAAAGAAAGAGAAAGATAGGGGGAGCGAGAAAGACTCTCACTCACCAGGTTTGAACTGTATCCGGACTCCGGCGTCGTTCTGGATCTTTTTGATCATTTCTCCGTTTCGGCCGATCACGACACCCACAGAGTGACGTGGGACGGGAACCTGAACAGAGTCGAGGAAGTTAGCCTCACTTTTCACATCACAGATCTGAGACCAAGAAACTATGAAAACAACAACCTCACAGGGTTATTCTTACAACCCTGACAAACACGGAGACCCAACATGAGAACAAATGCAAATGACCAAAACAATGACTCTTTTGTTTGAATATACAAATTTAATTCTTAGTAACATTTTACAATTTTGTGACCAAATTTTCGTTACTAAAACAGAATAAGACTGAAAATAAACCTAAATTTTTTTGCAGCTCTTTCAGTTTGTATTCTGTACTTTTGACCAATAATTATTTTAAGTTATGCATACAAAAAAAAGTGTTTTACAATCTCATTTTACTGACAACCACGGAGTTTTTTTTTAACCTGTGAACCAAAACAACAAAACATGGCACACCCTTACAGTTTATAAGGAAAATATTACAGTAAAGAGTTTCAGCAATTTTTTCCTAAATTTAACAAAAAAAAGAAAAAAAAAACCCCACTGGTAATGAGAAACACATGGACAGTGCAGTAATGAGAATCAGGGTTTATAAATAAATAAATAAATAAATAAATAAAACGCTAAAATAGATAAACTTGCTTAGAGACACACTTTAAGGCGGTTTTGTGAGACTGACCGAAATGTCTGGCAAGTGCAGGAGTTTTTTTTTAATCATTAAATTTTAAACTTTAAACTGAATATTACTAATACCAAATTGTGCAGGTACAACAAGCATGTTTGTTTCACAAAACACCCCCCATGCATAATCTGTGGACCACCACTGTAGACGAATGGCGTTCTTATGTCATGCTATTTCACACAGTGGATGAGACGACAAACTGCATATTAACGATGTACAGACATTACCCACCTCTATTCCTCCTCCCATCCGGGAGCCATAGTCATTTCTGTCTCCAAATCCAGGGTGATCCCTCTCCCTCAAAATCTCCTGCACCATCTCCCGAGCTTGCTGAGAGTAGAGAACGAAAGAAAGAATAAATAAATGTAACGGGCAGTTCGTCAGCGCTCTTTAAAAAGTACTGACAACATACACTGTATGATGACACCCACCTGTACTTTGTACGGTTCTCCAATGATGCGAAGGGGCTTGTCCATGTTGGGTCCCTGAGACGCATCCTGAATCAAGATCATCTTCACTCCAGCGCGCTCCTGGACACAACACCACACACGAAAATAATCAGTTTTCAAGAATTCCACAAAAATAAAGCACAATGTGTTTTTTTCGGTTTAGTAAAGAAATATTTATTAAAAGAAACTTTAAAAACACTACAAAGTACCGTAAAACATCACTGAACAACTGCAGTAGTAAGCAGCATAAAATGCTATTTTGGAGGATCCTTTCCAATCTGGCTGCCCTGACCAGGCGAAAACATCACTGGCTGAGTTTACATGCAAACACTTTTGCCGGTCCGACTGAACACAGTCTGATTATAGATGAAGACTGGAGGTGTTTATATTCTCACTCTACTGTTTACATGCTCACCACAAGTAATCCGATCCAAAATGACACGCATGCATAAACTACCACTTAGAGTCAACGTTACCATGACAACAAGCATCACGTGAGTCCAGTCAGAGTGAGATGAGCAGCAGTGAGCAGTGCTCGTGTTTTTAATGACTTTAAAATGATGTCAGACTCAGGAAAATGTGCTTCACACGTCCTTATTAAAGAAGGCCGAGAGGAAGACGTCGTGTTCTGAGACACATAAGCTGGACGTCCGTCCCACCGCCGTCTTTTAAGGATCAGAGCATAAACTTCGTCTCCTCTGCAGACCAGTTTCTGCTCCGCCATGTTGAACGGTATAAACTTTCACTATGATACGACGCACATGATCAGAACGTACTTAAACTTTCCGATAGGGAATGTAATCAGATACAGGCGTTTACACGGATATTATTCTTCTATTTAACAGATTATTTACAGGATCACCCACCTCGTTCAGTTGGATAGAAACTGTATTCCGAATGGTCTCAATCAGACTAGTCTATTCCGATTGAGGTGTTTCCACGGACGTATTCTATTCCGATTGAGCCATTAGTCGGATTATTAACAGATGATGAGGCTCCATGTAAACGTGGCTACTGATGAGCAGGACAGGAGGGCAGAGGAAACTTCTCTTAAACCACACGATCTTAAGAACTAACAGGTTTTTGGCCAACTCGTAAGTGACTGGGTGGTGACTGCTTCAGATCATATGTCTGTTTTGTAAGCCATTCAAAAAAAACGCTTTATATTCGAGCACACGCTCAACTCGCCCAGGGCATTTAATCTGTTGCCTTATGGATGGATTGCTAACCAGGACGCTACTGTTCATTCTCAGAAATAAACGCAGTTAAGAGCAGTTTACTACAAAACAGAGCAGCAGGAAAAGCAGCAGCATTCGGACTGAACTTTAAAACTGATTAGAGCTCTAATACAGGCAGTTAGGAACTACCTGCCGACTCAGTGTTTAACTTCTTAAACAAAATTGTTTCCTGTCGGACTAAAGCACAAACTTTCACAAACAGGTAAAAGTACCAGTTATTCAACCTATTTTTCCATTTAAGTCTTTTTAACCTCCTAGGCTACATATAAAGCCCCAATATTCTCACCTGAAGTTGTTTGATGGTTTCTCCTCCTTTGCCGATGACCAGGCCAGCTTTTCCCGCCGGAATAATCATCTCCTGCATGTGGCCGCTCCCGTTGGTCTCATGGAAAGCGGTGGGTGGAGTGCCTCGGCCCCGCGAAACAATGTCATCTAGGAGCATCTTCGCCTTCCTGTGGAGAAACAGAGCTGAGGTTAAAAGCCTGGTGATAACTTAGTTCCATTAATCCCAAATTTTAAAGCAGCCACATTAAAAAGTTAAGAAAAGAGAAAACAATCGTTTTCTTTATCTAAAACCACACACACTACAAAACCAAATCACTACACAACATTAGAATAAACATGAATGAAACCCTTGTGTGGTGCTGATGTGTCTGGTGACCCACCGCATTTTGTTTTTTTAAATCAATACAGCAACAATTTATGTAAAAATACTAGATGTTTAAATTATCACAAGTGGCCAGCGTTGGGTTCTCCTGTAGCAGCTGTAGCCAGTCAGCAGCCACACACACTAACAGCAGGCCATGTAGGAGGAGAACAGAGTGAAGGACACAGCACCTCCACACTTCTATTCCCTGCAGGTTCACCCATCACCATGTGTAATATAAATGTGTGGGGGGTGAACAGAGTGAAGACACTGAAAATGGGCTTTTTTATATGTTCTTCACAAAAAATGAGCAAAGGCCAAGAATCTGAGGGTGAAATAATAAACTGCATCATTTTTTCTTTTGGTAAATGTTAAAAATGGGTCCCACAGACCTGAACACCACGCAAGGGTTAATACAGATACAAGTTTGGTAAATAGATTTGGAGAACAACATTAGTGCATTACGTGTGGGGAAAAAGAGGATTTATACTTACTGAATGGCTTCAGGACTCCCAGTTATAGACACACTTCTCTCAGGTAAACCTCCACTGTCTACAAGTAAACACAAGTCACTGAAATTAGTCCTGCAAAAATTCTCCTTCGTTTACTGAAAGTTTTCCATCAGACACAACTCACATTTTCACCCCAGTGATCCTAGTGCACTTTCCTAGAACCTAGAAACTGTTTTTCATTCTATATATAATTTTATTCTCCCTCCCTCTCTCTCTCTCTCTCTCACTCTCTCTCTCATACTAAATCTTAACCATATGCCAAACTTAAACAAGCTAAATAAGAAAAATATAATAACTAAACTAATAATTGGATGTAATGCTTTTGTAATTAGCTACCGTGTGTGCTCAGTACTCACTGCATACCCGGTATATAGTTTAATTTAACGCAGCTTCATCTCACCTGGAGCGATCTGAACTTTACAGCCAGACTCCTGCTGGATCTTATTAATCTGCTCTCCTCCTCGACCAATGACTGCACAGCAAGAGAGAGGAGAGCGCCAATCAGATCAGCTCAAAGAAAGTGCTGAATAATCAAAAGACCTCAGAGCTTGAAATGAAGTCAGGCTTCTATGGAACAGTAAAGATTAGTGCTGGGTGGTATGTAGCTGGTATTGGTGTCAAACAGCAGTACTGATTTTTAGATTTATTGCTATTAGTAATAGAGTAATGAGCATTACATTCAATACCAATGTTTCTGTAGAAATAAAAGAAAAAAAAGGAAATAAGAAGAAACCCAAGCAGTGCAAATAACCCTACAAAAGACCCCGTTTACAGCTGACTGTTTAAGATATTAACCATACGTATTTATACTCTGGTTAGTTAGACTGAAATATAACCTGCTGTATGGCACCTAGTATGCAAATCAGCTGATAACGAATTGCCTATGGCGTTTTTTTGTTCTTCCTGTTCTATTTAAAAACAGTTTTGCATGGTTTTAATAATATACTTACACCAGCGATGGTTACCCGACGACTGCTGGTGTTATACTATGGCATTTTCATATAATACTACGTTATATGTTACTACTATATACTACGTTATATGTTTACAATACTCCTGTATTAGACTTCACGGTCACAGACCATGAGCTTTACAATGTAATGTATTGCAGCAAGACTAAATAACAACGAGGCAAAGTGAATATTAACCAAGCTGGCACTTTAATTAGCTTCCGCAGCTGAATGCAACTAAATTTAAAACTCAGGAGAAAGTCACATTCAGATTTGGTCAGTAATCCGAACACATTTCCCTGCACCTGGGTAATCAGATGAGGAAAGTCTACATGAGTCAGTGTCACAGAAGACGACGTGACAAAGCTCAAACTTCATGACGTGGCTTATTTTTAAAACATTGCGTCACTTCACCTGAAAATATTAACACACATCTAAAAGATGAATATTTAAATCCTTTATTTCGCGTTTGGTTTCAGCGCCTTTTCAGAAGGGTTTTGCTGCATCTCACAGCGACGCTGCTCACTTAGATCTGGTACCATCGTCTGTTTTGCACATTCACAGACTGAGAAATCCAAAAGAAATCAGAGTAAAAGTTCACATGCACAGAGAAATGTGATTACAGAGCTAAAAGCCAGCCTCTTTATCAGATTTCTTAATCGGATTTCTAGATCGGAGTATGGTGTTTACATGACCATTTGAATAATCAGATAACTGCAGAAATCCGATTACGATCGGATTATTGAGTGCATGTAAACACACTCAACGATGCCTGTCGATGCCTGTTTAGTGGAGGCAGTCCAGTGGGGGAGTTTCCCCTCATATGCAGAACAGCAGAGGGAGGAACTGCATCATGGGAGGGGTTTTGCTTGTCAAATGTGAGTTGAATAACTGCATCTACACTTATGACATCTGGTTAAAAGATTTCCTCCTGAGGTGGTTTGAGCGACTGGATTAATCCGTTTTAAACGAGTCTTGGGTGCGTTTACACTTCCGTTTATGTAGTTAACCTCTATACTGATATAATCCTGACACTCAATCTAACAACTAACTTACACTATTCTTTTAGTATATAGTAGCAGCGCTAAGGAATCATGGGCTCATTAACTTTATTAATAAAATATACTGAATAAGTATAATATAGTAACCACTACCACCCAGCACCGGTAAAGAGGGATGTGTGTACTTACTGAGGCCCACCATGCCATCAGGCACTCTGTAGTCCTCCGTTACCGAGGAGGGACGTACACTAAAGAGGGAGAAAGAGAAAGGGGTGAGGCACTCGTCAAATAAGAAATGTAACCATCACTTCATCTGTTGTAAACATGTCTGCTCATCTCCTGTAATGGTGCCACAATACTATCTAGAGTCTAAAGTACCAGCCCAACTTTAAACAGGCAGACAATTACAATTTCTCTAAACGCAGCCTGCAGATCGTGTTTATAGTGATGGGCCCGTCCATGTTTTTTCAGTTCCGATCCGTTGTTCAGGTACAGCAGCCTCTGAATCTCTGAAATGCAGATCATATCTGGGCTCTAAGAGCTTCAACAGGCTGCGAATCACGATATTTTCCACTACAGACAGCGGCTGGTCATCGAGTCTGATGAAGTTGAGCAACTCCGCTGTGACCCCTTTAGCCTTTGGGTCGTCTGTTGGAAGTTTATCGTGTTTCTGGAAAGCATCAGTGAGAGTCGCTGCCTGTTAGCATGAACTCCTGGTGCTCTTTTACACTGAACTTTTTCAGGTGATTAAACTGGCTGTATTGTATAAAGCAGCTGCACTTCCACCCCTCGGCACGCTGGCTTTACACGCACAGCAAGCAGAGCTCTTGGTTTTTGGCATTTCCAGACTAAAATATCTCCCAACAAACAACATTTTAGTCAAACCAACAGCTGATGTTATTTGCTCACTCAGTTAACAGACTGAAGTTGCCGCAGATTCATGGTAAGATGTGGAATGGAATCTGGATCGGTGACGGGTCTGCTGTGTTATGTTACGCTACAGCGGGTTCACAGCGTAGGGCAGCTGCAGAGACACCACAAACAACTAGAGATGAGACCAATCCGATCCTATGTCACTATGGGGTTCCCGAGCAAGCTGCGGACTGGAATTCGGATCGGATCAATATCGGACCTCATAGCGACACAGGATCGGATTGGTCCCATCTCTAGTTGTTTGTGGTGGCTCTGCAGCTTAATATTCACAACTGCTGACCAGATACACTTTAAGACACTGAACAGTCACCCAATGTAAGCTATATAACTCTGCTAACTCTGCAATGTCTCCTCATTTCTTTTATATTCTCATGTTCATATCGTGAAGCCCCACACCCACCCGCCGCCAAACATGACTTCCTCCCACCCAGTAACATTCAGCCCCAGCACTGACCAAAGAGTAAATCTGGCTGTGTCATTTTTAGGTCTCATCTGTCATTTCTCCGTTAAAACCCCACTCTCCCCTCCAGAAAAGAACATATTCTTACCTCTGCTGAGACAAGGCGGCCAGCTGAGCCCCAATAGCTGTGGATTAAAACAGCCCACAGCATTACTTAATTAGTCTATATATACACACAACATGAGTCAGTCATCCACCGCGAGTGTGACGGATCGTGTTTCCATGTCAATGTGTTCATCTAGTTAGAAGATTTCTGAACAGACAGTCTGATGGATGTGAAGTGATCAAAGGAAGGGTGGGGCTGAAATAAACATTACGATACTTACAGCATTTCCGTTACTCAGTCTGAGTTTTACACACAAAAGTTACCATCAAACGAACAGTGAACTGCATTAAGAGTTTTCGCCAAAATTAAACCATTTAAAACAGAAAAGGGAAAAAAACTCAATAGATAAATTAATATGGATAGAATGATCTGGGAATTGTGGGCAGACGCCAATATTCAACACTTCATGTTTATATGTGCTGAATTTGAAAGATATTCATAAAACCTAGAAGACCCCAACAGGACCCTCACAGAGCAGGTACTATTTTGGTGGTGGATCATTCTCAGCACTGCAGTAACACTGACGTGGTGGTGGTGTGTTAGTGTGTGTTGCGCTGGTCTGAGTGGATCAGACACAGCAGTGCTGCTGGAGTTTTCAAACACCTCAGTGTCACTGCTGGACTGAGAAACAAAAATATCCAGCCAACAGCGTCCTGCGGGCAGCGTCCTGTGACCACTGATGAAGGACTAGAGGATGACCAACACAAACTGTGCAGCAGCAGATGAGCTATCGTCTCTGACTTCACATCTACAAGGTGGACCGACAAGGTAGGAGTGTCTAATAGAGTGGACAGTGAGTGGACACAGTGTTTAAAAACTCAGCAGCGCTGCTGTGTCTGATCCACTCAGCACAACACACTAATACGTCAAATAATACCTCCTCTGTGGTGGTCCTTTGGGGGTCCTGATCACTGAAGAACAGGGTAAAAGGAGGCTAACAAAGTATCAGAGAAACAGATGGACTACAGTCTGTAACTGTAGAACTACAAAGTGCACCTATATAGTAAGTGGAGCTGATAAAATGGTGAATTTAATGAAGTGGCCGGTAGGCGTGTGTACATGTACAAAACATGACATACACAACTAAGCAGCATCGTCACTGGTGCTCTAGGAGTGCGAGTAGTGAGTGAAGTTGTGTAAGACACTCACACAGCGCTGTAGCGTTGTCCCTGTCGCTCTGAGAAGCCATCCTCTTACTGTCTGGCTGATCTGAAGACACAATATCAAACAGTACAGTAAACCGTCTGCACAGCTCTGCTGTTGGACAGCTTTTTGTGGTATGAATGTTTTTCGACATAGAACAGCTGGCACTGGGGCAGACTCTGGCTCCCAATCGTAAAGGAAGCAAATGAAAAAAGAAATCTTCGTATGTGCCTGCGTATTGAACTCGTAACATTTCACTAAACCGGGGTGTCCAAAGTCCGGCCCCGGGGCCAAATGTGGCCTGCGGACAGATTTTAATTGGCCCCCCCCTCCTGTTTTATGGTGTATTTTAAGCGGCCCACCAACCAGAACGCTGCAGTTCTCCCTTTCACCTGATGGTGGCAGCTGACCAGATCTGCAGCCTCGTTTACTGAACGACATTTAATCAAGACTACAGACATAAAGCTCAAACTAAACACTGAAAAATGCTGATTTTGGCGAGATGGAAAACTTGGAACAAATTCAGTAGTTAGTAAATATTAACCCTTTAAAATCAAAAAAAATGTGGCTGCACTGTTTATTTGATACGTAAACAACATTAACAAAACCAAAAGTTTATAGATTGTTTAGTTTCTCACAAATAATATTAACAAATTAAAATAATTTCAATAGGAATTCGATTAATACATTAGACATGATGTATTGTTACTTTAAAATAATTTATTTATTATACGCGCTTATCGATCCACACTGCTCTGAACAAAAAATCCAACAATAAAAGAGAAAAAACAATAAAAGCCTCGTGCATCTTTTACGCAGTGATGTGAAAAACGGTAACTAACAGAAAGCTCAGATTCTAAGCGCTGATATTTTGAATGATTTGTGAATAATATCAGTCCTCAGGTATTTTAGCACTGCACAATCTGGCCCTCTTTGAAAAAAGTTTGGACACCCCTCCCTGCACTACACTGTACATGTATGCGTCAGTCTTTGTGCTGTACGGTTTTCTCTATGCATGCTATGTTAGTCACACCAGGCTCAAACAACTTCCCTTCTAGGGACAACAAAAGATACCGAACTGAACTGGTGCGTTTGTGTACCTCCGTCCTCCAGGGACCGTTTCTGTGCTGCGAATGGGTAGCTCTCAGCGCCACCGTTATTGCTCATTGGGGGGGCTGCAACATCTCCACCAATCTTGGCTGCGATCTAGTGATGGGGGGGAGAAAAAAAGCACACATTCATGTTTGGTCTTTTTTGAAAGCTCAAATAAAAGAACAGTGAAGCAGAGTCTTTCGCATATTTGGCAAAACAAGCCAGGGCTTTCACAGAGACATACGGACCACCTGATGTTTCACAGTTTAAAGGGAAAAGCACTGATTTAAGATTTGGGACCATTTGTTATCTGAGAAATAAGCAGTTATTGAGACTGTTCTGTTCAAAAAAATGCTCTATTCTAGAGAAACTTGGTGTGAAAACTGTGCAGGATGGCAGTAAAAAGAGCAAACAGTCCAAAGCCTTTAAAACCAAACTTATTCAAGAAACGCCAACAAATATATATATATATAATAATGTTAATTAGGTTCTAAAGGAAAGCATTTCTTACATAACCCATCATAGTCTAGGCTCTTCCACCCATCAAGAAAACAGACTAACTGATTTACCAGGTTAGTCTTATCAGCCTTCTACACGAAACCGACCGTGTGTGTACCTTCACAAGTCGATCGGAAAAAATAAGCAAGCGGTTATTGTTGTGGACGTCATGAGTCCTCGTTCCAATCACAAACACTGGAAATCCAAGTCTGTGAATTTCTATACAATTAACCGTTTCACATCAAACCACTCTCACTGACTTTGTTTACACCTCAAGCGCTGAGCCATACAGGAATTTTGAAAAATAAATCAGAGGAATTCTCCTCCAACCCTACTAGTTACTGAAGGTAGACATTTTTTTTCTTATCCCTGCACACCTGTGTTATTCAGGGTTTTAGGATGGTTTGTGTGGTCCTTATTAGGGTTCAGTAGGGCAATGAGAGACTGGTTGCAAGGCCAGTATGTACAAAAGGATTTTTCATTAGCAAAATGCAGAGCTTGATGCTGTATGTGAACTCTCTGAAAGGTTTAAAAACACACTGATCGCTAGCCAGTCTATGTGGTGTACATATATCTATATACTTATCTATATACACAACTACATTTTCACACAAAGGGAAACGACACTGCAAAAAAGGGCTGTTTTGGTTTGCTTTAGTGATTTTCATAAGCACTGTCTGTTCAAGTTATAAGGAGTGTGTCTGATATGGGTTAAGGAGATCCTATGTGCCAATTAGAACAGATCTCATTTACATACATGAGTCTTAAAGGAACAGCAAAAAGAAAAAAACAGCCTATTTGAATTTTAAGAGATAGAGAGATTAGAAAAATGTTTTGTAAAAACAATTTGGCCCATTTTTGGTACACAAGACAACACGGACGTTAGAAGTGGATCTCAGGTGGGGAAGATGGCTCTTTAACCAATTCACAACCGAGAATTGAGGCCAACAAGCGTGAAGCGGTTACCTTATGAGGAAACTACGCATTTTAATCAGTTTCCTTAAAACCAGGAGGTCTAAACACAGCAGCCCGAGTTCAGAAAACATTACTCACGGCTGTTTTCTTAGACCATGTTTTTAACGGTGTTTTCATGCTCCAAATGTTGTCAGTGAAAGACAAGAATGAAGAGAATTAAACCTCTATTACTAAAGGGGACCCCCACGTTACACTAACTTTAAAAACGTCTGTATAATTTGATAGATGTAAACAAAGTCATTCAGACTGGTATGACGTGAAACGCTTCGCTGTAGAGAAAATTACCCAGTCACAACTTTTCACAGTGGTGGTGATAGGAACCAGACCTCTGAGGTGTTTAAAGCCTCTATAAAGCTCCATCACAGAAAGATATTAAACGGAATTTAATTATGATATGCTGCCTGATACCTGGGGTATTATTTCATGAAGCCATATATATTATTTAAACCATTCATGGCAGAGAGGAATATGCAGGAAAACTTATATTTCCCCCTACATACCACTATTTAATCATCACCATCATCACATATAAAAGCCAGAGGGCACATAAACGCACTGGTCACTCGGACCAGTAAATAAAATGACCGTAACCTGTCTGTGCTGTGGATATCTGGTTCCTATCACCACCACTGTACGCGAATATGAGCCGAAACGGTTCTTTACAATAAACCCACTCACACCAATCCGCTCCTAACGACTCTGTTTACGTTTTAAGCCCTGAGGCGCCGAAATTTCGGGATCCCCCTTTAACTCGGTTAAAACGTGCCACACGGGTTTAGCCGTTCAGCTAACCAGCCTAGCAACAGTAGCTAACTAGGTTAGCATAGCACGTCTAGTAGACAATGGGGCGGACCGGGAGCGTGTTTAAGTGCATTTTCCCGCTCGAAGCGCCCTAAAGTGCGGTGAATACGGGGGGATTAGAGCCCGGTTGCTTCACGTGAACCATTTCGAACCGAACTGCCACAGAAATACAGTGAAAATATCAAACCCGCGGGTTAGCTTAGCGCCCCGCGCCGCCATACAAACAAACGGGAGCCGTGCTAACGCGGTTAGCATCGTTAGCAGCAGCGGTAGCAGCGGCTCTGTCCCCTTCCAGGCCGCCGGAGCCAAACTTCACCTGCCGGGCTCGCTGCACCGCGTCCGCGAAGGCGTCCTTCTTGATCCCACCGGCTCCCAGAGCTGCTGCTGCCCCGGGGGCTCCGGGCGGAGGCACCGCGCTGTACTCCGACATTTCTGTCCGTGAATGTGAGCTGGGGGTGCGGAGCGGGAGATGCGGGCCGAGCGGCGGTGCGCAGGAGCGGGAAGGCGAGGGGGACGGAGAGAGGGAGAGACGGCGGTGCCATGGCGGGGTTTCTATTGGCTCTCCGCGCTGTTTGACATTCAAACGGACCAATCGGAACGCGCGAAGAAGGCAAAGGAGGCGGGTGCTACGGTTTCCGCGTGATCTCGTTGGCTGATGCTTTTCCCCCCTTATTACAAAGGCGGATCGACCAAACGCCACGCAGTAATTTTGCCGCTGAGACGCGAACCAATCAGAGTTCAAGGACGAAGCACATGGACCAATTAAAAAGGACGTGGCGCCCTATTGAGACAGACAGACGGGCGGCTCAGCCAATGAGTAAGAGCGGTGGGCGGATCGGGCTGTTGTACACCATTAAAGAGTTTGTCTGAAGGTACGTCCACGCTGATCTAGAGACAGATTTAACTTTATTTTGTGATATAAATCAAACTGAAGCTTTCCTGCCGCTATAACGGGAACCGAGACTGCTTCGAAATCTGTACGAAACAGTCAAATAATAGTAAGTAATAAAATTTATCAACACATTCAGATTCCACCACACACAATTACCATCCCAGTAAGAGTCCACAGGAGAGTTTCTGAAACATTTAAACAGTTAAAAAGAAATTTAAAGTAAAATATTTTAAAGGTGGGATTCTAAATGATATCAGGATGGGCTGCTATTTGGTTAAAAAATAAATAAACAAATAAAATAATAAAAAATAATAAAAAATGTGTGTGTGTGTATATATATATATATATATATATATATATATATATATATATATATATATATATATATATATATTAGCATTGGACACATGTTTATATTTGACTGATATTTCAAACCAAACGATTTACAAAGTATTTAGTCGAGTGTGTTTACACGCACTTAATAACCCGTAACTGCAGAAAATCAGATTTTGTCAGTAATCCGATTAACACATTTATGTGCACTTGAGTAATCAGATAATGTGAAACTCTGGGTCTACATGAGTCAGACAGTAATCGGATTTCTCATCTGCCACCAGCCAGTAAACTCACAGAAGACGATGTGATTTTTTTTTAAAGCATTGTGCCACTTTACCTGAAAATATGAACTTACATCATCTAGAAGATGAAGAACATTTAAATCCTTCATTTCATGTTTGGTTTCAGCGCCTCTCTAAAAGTGTTTTGCCGTGTCTTGCGGCAAAGCTGCTGGTACCGCCATCTGTTTTCGCACATGCGCGGGCTGATAAATCCGAAAGAAATCAGAGTAAGGGTTTAGCCCCCAAAGAAGTTGTTTTTAGATTTACCACTATTTTACTATCATCAACATTACATATAAAACACGTGTGGGTTCGCTGGTGGTTTTAGATAGCAAATAAAATGTCTACATCTGTGTTGTAGACACTGTGACCCCTGGTTCCCATCAGGACCACTGTAGATAAAGTCTCTCTACAATGAATCATTTCACATCAAACCACTCTGAACGACTTTGTTTAGTGCTCAACGATTGAATTAAGCAAAATATCGGCAGAATTGCCCTCGAAGGCCACGCTGAGTTACTGAGCTGAAATGTCTAAATTGTGTTCATTTTACTGCATTTGTAACCCTCTACAAATGTTAAATGGACATCCCTCCTAATTACTGATGAGTTAGATGCTGAGAACAGTTGTACACACAGAGCCATGCAATCCTTCCCAGAGGAGTGGAGGCTCTTATGGCTGCAAAGGAGGCCCCATATTAATGTTCATGCTTTTAGAATAGGATGTTCAATGTCTTAGAGGGATGATGGTCAGGTGTCCACAAACTTTTGGCCATATTGTGTATTTCTAAGTATTTTACATACACACAAAAAATCCAACCAAATTCTAAAAGCCTATTCCTTTAATTGTTGAGTCTTCAATCGTTTTTCTGTAATTTTCAGTTATCTGAAGTAGTTCTGAAATTCACGACTGTAGCTTTAATTCTCGTGGAGATCTATATTCATATAAAGTTTAATACATGATCACACGAATCAGCGCCTTCAGAAGACCCTGATGAGATGGACGAGGCGTAGAATCCAGTTGAAATCTGCAAGAAAGTTAAGACGACGACGAAGGCAATTACAGACTTCTTAAAATCTTAATTTAATAATTTACATACAGCCTTTAGCATGCATTCAACCACAAAACAGGTTTTCAGGCAAAAATCTCAAAAAGCATTTTATAATATACTCATAAAAGTAGAAACACTTTGATCAAAATTCTGAAACAAACAGCAATGCCACTGTTTAAAGATTTAAATAAAAGCTTAGGTTTGTTCCCAGTGTGGCTATAAACTATCACATTTTTCCTCTGAATACTGAGGCCCTTTCAAAGCAACCAAAGAAAGAAAGAAGAAGAAGTACGTAATTAAATCATACCGTAACACAGGCTAAAAACGTTATATATATTTTTTTCAGTGATATCAAATCCTGTTTAATTCAAATACTATTGTAAAAAAGTAGTGTTTTTTTCTCTTTTTTGTCTCGTTTATCATTGCACTCTTGTTATTGTTTGGTTTCAAATCACACGTACACGCTATGTATTGCCATGCATCAGATACTTCAGTCACATTAAATGCAGCAGAGGCCTATGTGGCCTTTAGGTCATGAGGTCATGCACACAGAGATTCAGCTGATCTCTGTCAGCCTGGCAGGACAGAGGGAAGCCCACAGTGACTCTAATGAGACCTGGGAGGCACAAGTTTCACAAAGCAAGACTATTCAGTAAACTGGTGATGACTTCCTAATAGGAGTGTTTTAACTTCTTCTCCTATTGGACAGATGTGACTCAAAGGCCAGCATTTTCAACCTAATCTCCATCTGCCTGGTCTGTAATGATACGGTCACTTCACCTGTACTTAGAAATGAAACGAAAGCCCAACTCGAAACTGCATTACAACAGAAGCCAAAGGGCAGCTGCTTAATTCCATCAGTAAAGCATCTGAATGAGCCAATCCATGAATTCTTCAGTTAAAAGCATTTGTGAATTAACTGTATAATCGCTTGTAAAATCGGTGCTACATACCAGCGCCCTTCAGCCATCAGGGATCAAAGTATTGGTGGTGTGGTATGGTAATAAATGTTGGTATAGGTTTAATAAATTAGGTGTTACCAGACTATAAATCACTTCTTAAAATAATACAGAGGCTAAAGCTCACTGTGAAGTCAGGCTACAGGCTCCTAGTAAGAAGAATAGAAGAATATTTAAATCCTTCATTTCATCAAGCATGTATTTGGTTTCAGTGTCACTCCAAAAATGTTTTGCTGCGTCTCGCGGCGACGCTGCTCGCTTATTTCTGGTACCGCCATCTGTTTTCACACATGCGCAGACTGAGAAATCCAAAAGAAATCAGAGTAAGTAGAGTTCACATGCACTGAGAAATCTGATTATTGAGCTAAAATCCAGATCGGATTTCTTAATCGTATTTCTAGACCTTACTCCGATCCAAGAAATCAGAGTGTGCTGTTTAGATGACCATTTCAATAATCAGATAACTGCAGAAATCCGATTATAATCAGATTATTGAGTGCATGTAAACACACTGTCTGTGGTTTTAAATAGTAGAATATAGATTCGGCAGATAGACATCAGGTTGAAAAAACAGGAGTACTCTTTTCAGCTATCAGGCTAACTGAGAAAGCTTACTTTGTGAAATGATTCCCTGGACTTGTATTAACTGTTCTAGCAGGCCTAGAGTTCAACAATCCCAGAAAAAAGAACACAATTATATGGGTAAAGAAAGTCTTTATCTTGTGCGGACTGCAGATTTCTTCAGTGTTGGAGAGAAGCTGTAGAACTTCAAATTCGTTCTAGATTCGCCCAGACCGGGCGAGGGTTCTGTTCTAGAATTGGAACTCGTTTTAGATCTCAGGCTCATTCTGGAACACAGGCTCATCATCCACCACCAGGTGGCACTCCATCACTGTTCCACTAGGCTCTCAGAAGGCTAGTTAATGCTTAGTCCAACCCACATTCACACTGCGTTCTCTATGAGAGGCACTTTCAGCTGAAGGGTCAGTTGGGGGTTCGGAGGACAAAAGTAGCTTCCCCTGCACCAACTTCCCCCCCGCTCTCAAAGCTCCACCCCATCCTTAAGAAAATAGATTTCATTGTCTGATATACAGCACCAGTCAACAGTTCGGACACCTACTCATGGAGCCTTTCTACTGTTTCACATTTCAGGTTCAACAAAGCAATGAAATAAGACATGGAATTAAGCAGTAATTGAAAAGGTGTTAAATAGGGGATTCCACTGATTTGGTAACATTTCTGCATAATTAAGATGTGAACAGAGTCATTCAGAGTGCTTCTCTGTTTTGGAGAAACTTACCGAGTCAGAACTATACTATAAAAGCATGATATGGTTGTAAATACGCTTTCTAATGTCTGAGACATTGTTTCACAATAGTTCTGAGAAGATTTTGGCCTAAAATGTACTATTTTTTAAAAAGGTACATTCAGGTATTATATGGCAAAACAGTCCCCAAAGAATACTTAATTTCCACCATCCATAATTGCCATCATCAACATCACAAATTAAACTGAAGACTTGTGTAGATTCACAGGTGGTTTTTGGATAATAAATAAAATTATATATATATATGTAGGTTCCTGTTTCCTATCACCACCACTGTAAAGAAATCAGAGTCAGTAAGTTTCTCTATAATGAACCATTTCACATCAAACCACTCTCAATGACTGTGTTTATCTCGACTGAATATGTTATTACATGTGCCTTTAACGTCAATTTTATTTTTGTGTTAGAAACACATTTCAAGCAGTTAAAGGGCCCATATCCTACATTTTGTTCAGTGTTTGACTTTTTCTCTTGGTCCACATATGTTTATGTGGTGTTTTGCATCAAAAATTGCACTGATTCATTTTTACTTGCCCAACCTTAAATTTTGTTACTGTGCCTTTAGTACTAATATATACATGTTCTAATTGGCTGCCCTGTATCGTGCCTCGTTCAAAAAAGGTGCACTGCTGTAGACTGAATAGGTTTATATATGTAAATATGTGAAAATGGTCTGTTTTTACAGCTTTGTTTCCATATATGGACGGGCGAATGAATTGTACGACTTAAATTTATTACAGTTTATGCACTACATTAAACTCTTTCATTTCCAAACGGTAAGGAAAATCCAGTTTTCCATGATATGGGCCCTTTAAGCATAAGCATTTTGATCTAAATGTCTTTACAATTATGAAAAACATACATTCAGTCTGAACGTTTGACTGGTGCTATATGCAGTGCATGTACGGGGTTATACACACACACATTAAAAATATACCACATGCTCATTTATACTGATATAAACATACACTTTCATCATTTCACCTCCAGATGAGCATGGTCTGTGAGCCTGAATATCAGGACCCTGTTGACCAAACAAGACAAATTAACACAAACAACCGAAAATAAACAGATAACAGTGAAGAGAGCACTATACAGTCACCTAACACAAACCGTTCCATGTGATTATTTTTAGTTCATAAAACGTTGAAAAAGCACCTTCCCAGTTTGCATATTTGATTTTTGTTTTAATATTGATAAGTTCTCTAAATGGCTGCTGTGTAGCCCTCTTGATTGCTAAACATAATGGACATAACTTGGTCCTTCCTTTGGTCCTCATTAGGAGCAAATGTACACTCAGGGACGGCCTTTGGTCATTTCACGTCTTATTCAGATCTTTCAGGAACAGAGTGGATTTTTCCTTTCATTCTTATTCCTTATTTTGTCATTCCATCCTCCGTCCATCCACTAATGTAAGGAGTGAAACGATGACTCTAAAAATAACGTCTCTCTCTTCAGTGTCTATGAAGTAAATGTTTAGACCTGCATCAATCTCTCTCTCTCTCTCTCTCTCTCTCTCTCTCTCTCTTTCTCTCTCTCTCTCTCTCTCTCTTTCTCTCTCTCTATCTATCTATCTATCTTTCTCCCACCCCCAGTACTTTCCTCATATGTTCATATACCACGTAGGAGATGCTGACAGCGGGGATGACCTTAAGGAAGTTTGGGGCGATTCCGCGGTAAAGCCCCACCACGCCCTCCTGAGCCACGATGCTGCGGAACAGAGACAGCATGGAGAGCTGAGGACCTCCCTTCACTGAGGCTGAGAGAGAGAGAGAGGGAGAGAGAGGGAGGGATCAATTTTCCTCTTTTTTTACACTCTTTTACACTCTTATGACTTAGTTCTTAGTAGACAACATTGCACAGTCTATCATATTAACATCCATCCTTCAATTTACCCATCCATCCAATCTAATCCAACCATCCATCCAATCAGTCCTATTCTATCAATTCCATCTGTCCATCCATCCATCATCCATTCACCCATCATCCTTCCATAGAATCTTTATCCAAATATCCAATCCAATCCGTCAATTAATCAACTCATTCATCCATTACTCCACCCACGCAAACATCCATCCATCCTTCCAAACCAATCCGATCCAATCCATCCATTCGTCAGTCATCCGCCCACTTATCTATCCTTCAACAGAATCCAGTCAAACATCCATCTAGCGACAATTGAGCCCTGGCAGTGAAAACAAGTATACGTGAATTTTTTTAAAGTATATTATGTCGTTGTTTGATGCCCTATATTTGAAATAAAGGTGTCACTAAAATGTAAACAAAGCACAGTTTGGTTTTTTAATGTACGAGGCTGTACAAGATAAAACAGAAAACATAACTGATAATCCTAATAAGTGTGGAATGGTTCGTATATGGTTTTTCGTTGAATGGGCTCAATCAATCAATCAATCAATCAATCAATCCAATCCACCCATCCAATCCAATTCATTCATCCATCCATCCATCCATTCAATTCAATCAATTAACCCTTGTGTAGTGTTCAGGTCTCTGTGACCCATTTTCAATGTTTACCAAAAGAAAAAATGATGTGGTTTATTATTATTTCACACTCAGTTTCTTGTCCTTTGCTCATTTTCTGTGAAGAACATATAAAATAACCCATTTTCAGTGACGTCACTCTGTTCACCCCCCACACATTTATATTACACATGTGGTGTTGGGTGAACCCATGGGGAATAAAAGTGTGGAGGTGCTGTGTCCTTCAGAGTGTGTGTGTGTGTGTGTGTGTGTGTGTGAGGGTGGACAGCAAAGACAGGCTGCTGACTGGCTACAGCTGCTAAAGGAGAACCCAACGCTGGACACTAGTGATACTTTATACATCTGGCATTTTTACTGTTGTGGCTGTATTGATTTAAAAACAATAATGCGGTGGGTCCACCAGACCACTGAGTAACAAACACATCAACACCACTGACAATCATCCACCCACCATCCGTCCATCCAGCTATTAATCAATCAATTCAATCATTTCATCCCTCCTTCTCACCCTGAGCCTGCATTCGTGTGCGTATAAGGGCAAGCGGGTAGGAGGCTAGCTGGCCACACGTGCTCGAAACAGTTCCGCAGCCCACCAGCACCAAAACACCTGGATCAGTCGAATCACCCCTGTGTCTCTGCAACCATGCGTTCTTTAGAGTCTGAGAGAGAGAGAGAGAGAGAGAGAGAGAGAGAGAAATTCAGTCCACACTAATGTAATGGATTCACAATGAAGGGCTCTAAATCCCAATCCATTAAACCGCAGCTCTGCTCTCCACTCTCAGAAGCTATTCAGCATTTTTATCATGACCCTAATAGTTGCCTAACATTTAATATGAAATGTGTTCTCTGCTATTATACTGTCATTTTCTTTTGTACAAATAACATCAGTCATTCACAGGCATTAAAGATAAGTGCTCACAACATATTAAAAGCAGCACACACACACAAAACACAAACACACCTCATAGACGGCCAGGTCGATGCCTGCGTAGGGGATGATGCCCAGTATGTTGGGGATGTAGCCCTTATAGAACGCTTGCACGCCCTCCTTCTGCAGGATCTGCCGAGCGCAGTCCACCACACTTGAGTACTGACCAGTTTTGCGCAGCGTCAGGCGAGTCTTTAGCACCTACACAGGAAAGACAGACAGAGAGATTTGTTCGTATTCCAATGTGAGCAATTCAACTTATTTGTTATGAAACTTTACATGAGCTGAATGAGCTGAGAGCAGGATAGACTGAGCAGTGCTGTGGCTTAAAGGACTGGAGCTGAGTAACAACGCTGGATTCATTTCAGAGAAAGAAGAAACACAGCAAATCACACTGAAGCACAGGGCCTGAGATTATATACAGCCAAAAAATAGACCTGCCACAATTATTACATAATAGCCTGATAGCAGTTATTTGAGGTGCTCACAGTTATAAAAGCTGATCGCAGTTATTTTCCAGTCATTAGCTTTCACACTAACACTATACTGAGGACCAGCAATCTTAAAGATACATGCCATTCACATAAGCCTTCAATGACAGCACACATACACCTACATAAGCATTTCTTACTTCAACATGCCCTTAGGCCAAGTTTTAACGCTTTCCCAATCATATGTTTACATCACAGCAAACAGAATGTGAATTGAACGTGTTTTCATTGAGGCAAACACTAGTAAACTAAAGAAAGCAGAAACACATGAGGCACATCATGGGTTTTACCAGTGAAACTTCTAACTTCTGACTGGTGCTATATACTCAGCGATGAATAATGTTTGTTTATTAACAAATTAATAACAACTTTAGAGGGCAGCGATGAGTCATTCTTTTAATTTGAGCTCAAACTGTGTCTGTCGTCAGCAAGATGTGACATACTGGGGGGGTCCCAGGGGGATCCAGCGCCCTCTATTTAACCCTTTGGACCCCCTGAAAGCCTCAAAATCACATTTTTCGGGGATCCCAAAAAAGAAACGACTGAGAGAAGCAGTGCACTGCGATGTTGAGCAGAAGCAGGCATGTGTGAGGTTATGCTGAAGATCACTTTTGTAGCTCTGACTGGATTGTGGTATCACTATTATGGTCCTCTGCATAATATGATGGGTTGCAAACAGTGTCGGAGTGTGCGTGTGTGGAGGGTGGCTCTTATGTGTGATGCTGGTCAGAAGTACGGTGGCATGGTTTTTGTTTGCCGATTGAGCTGCATATACATGTATGATGCGATTTATCTAGTGATGTTAGGCTCGGAGTATGTAGTAGAATTCTAAACTGTTCATTTATATTTCATAATACCAAAGTAAGACTAAAATGTTCAGCCCACAGTGGAACATAGGTGTCTCTTTGCCCCTTGAAACTGAGTTACAAGGAATAGTGGTTGAAATCTTCACTATGAAATGGAACAACCCTGAAATAAAGAACATCACTTCATTAACAGCTACTAGCGCTGCTCTGTAGGCGACCCTGCCAGTCTGCAGTGACAGCAGAGGAGGGTAAAGTTCAACAACCTCAATACTGGCTTTAGTTACATTTAGTGCTTCATACGCCTTCAAAGAGGGGCAATTATTTATTGTCGCCCACCCCTAATTCTTCAGTGATATGAAGCTGAAGTTAGATATTCACTTGATTCTTGTTTCAATTTTCTCGTTCCACCTTAAATGGAGCAGCAGTTCTGATGCCAGGGGCACCAGAATGTAACTGCTGCACCATTTAAGGTGGAACAGGAAATTTAGCTGGCTAGCTACTGAGATATCAGCAAACTACTAGTGATTTTTATGCTTGTTATGAAGAAAAGGACCACAATACACTGAAATGACATTAAACTAATAATACAGTGGTTATCGTGGTATTTTAACAGAAAAATACTCATGTTTGTGGGTTTCTTTGGTCTCTTGCGCAACCATCTCGCCGGTTTTGCTTTTTTCTCATAACACTCTGTTTAGAGTGAGTCTCGGAAAAACCTCAGTTTGGAGGGCCATATAGCCCTAACACTTTGCCCTACCCCCCTATCCCAACAAAAACCGGGACACCCTACCCCATGAACGCACAAAACGGAGGGGTAGGGCTAAGTGGTGGGGCGAGGGGTGAAACGGGATTGGGCCATTGTCTGCTATTACTTTATTACAGTGATTTCCAGCCCTGGTCCTGGATTATCACTGTCTTGCACATTTTTGTGTTTTCCTGCTCTAACACAGCCACTTTAACTAAGGAAGGGTTTGTTAATTAGTTGGACCAGCTGTTATAATGACAATAACAAAAATAGCTGCAATCAGCAATACGAGGGTCCAAGCACAAATCAGTACAGTGAGGCCAGTAGGTGCCAGTACAGGGCTTTTTCTCAGACACAAGATTAATGTTGGGCAGTCAGAGGTCTCAGAAAGGCCTCCATTGGTCATGACTGTCCAAAGGGGTCTTCAAAGACGTCTTACTGAGAAATAACTGACACACAACTCATAAGCCTGTAAACAGGGTTGATTTTGAGAAGGAACAGAACTGCTTAATTATGTATGTAGCTATGAAAAACGGTCGCATGTTTCCTGATGACATTAGGTAGAGGTAACATGTACAAAGTGGAAAGCCAGAGTCCTAAAATTGAACCTTGTGGGACTCAACAAGAAATCTTAACATGCTTGATGAATGCTAGAGAAGGGGGGGGGACTCCAGGACCAAGGTTAGAATCCACTGTTTTATTACAATCTTGCTGAGAGAGAGGGAAAAAAAAGCCCGGTGCCTCTGAACAAAAGCCTGTTGCATGTACGAGTACATTTGTTGACAGTCGTGATCAAGTGTCTGTGTAAGAGCAAGGCCACAATAGGCAGTGGCCCTGAAACTCATGGTTGTGTGTCTGTCTGCCTTTGTGTGTGTGTGTGTGTGTGTGTGTGTGTGTGTGTGTGTTCAGTTTCACTCTGCCTTTAATACTTTCCTGTTTGGCTGCGATCCTGAGCTGCTAATAGTCACGCAGTTCAGGAACAAATAGCCCAACCAACACTAATACTGCCTCTACTTTCTATTGTTTAGAGTCACCTAGTATTTCTCAGACTTCTGCATATCAGATTACAGCAGCTAAAGAGTATAATAATTAATCAAATGTTTGTGTGTTCTCTGCTCAAAACCGATTAGGGCCTTGTATTGATCCATGCTCTGCCCACAAATGTGTTTATAATGGGAAACTGTAGTGCACAAGATGTCGAGACAAGATGTTATAAAGGAGGAGGAGAAATTAATGGGAAAGGTTGTGGTGCTCAACGTAGCATCTGCTTACTGGGAAAACATCATCCTTCAATAAAAAGAGCCAACCAGCTTGTCTGTAAATCCACAAGCCGGAAAAACCCTCCCTCACATTTTTTGTGTGTTATTTGAGCCAAATGCCTCAAACTACTACTATATTATTGTCAAATTTTGCCAGTGATTTTAAAAATGTTTTTGAAACTATGTGGCTTTTGCTTTCAGGTTTATAGGTCTCTCTGTGTTTAAGCCAAGTCTCAGTTATCATCAGAACATGCAAAATCATTTGCATCAGACTATTACAATGTTTGTTTAGAGTCACAACATAACGTTGAGTTTCCAGTTTAAAATGCTACACTACTCTTTTGGATTTATGTAACTGAAGCTAAAGTTGGCTCAGTTTCACAACAAAAAACAAAACTCTCTGAATTTACAGTCGAAGTCATACGTTTACATACACCTTAGCCACATTCATTTAAGCTCAGTTTTTCACAATTCCTGACTTAAATTGTTTAACTTGGGTCAAATGTTTGGGGTAGCCTTCCACAAGCTTGTCCCAATAAGTTGTTGGAACTTTGGCCCATTTCTCCTGACAGAACTGGTGTAACTGAGTCAGGTCTGTCGGAACTGAGATAAGGGCTTTCTGATGGCCACTCCATTACCTTCATTTTGTTGTTCCTAAGCCATGTTGCCACAACTTTGGAAGCATGCTTGGGGTCACTGTCCATTTGGAAGACACACTTGCACCCAAGCTTTAACTTCCTGGCTGATGTCTTGAGATGTTGCTTCAATATCTTCACGTAATTTTTCTTCCTCATAATGCTATCTATATTGTGAAATGCACCAGTTTTTCCTGCAGCAAAGCACCCCCACAACATGATGCTGCCACCACCATGCTTCAGGGAGGGGATGGTGTTTTTTGGCTTGCAAGCCTCCCCCTTTTTCCTTTAACATAATGATGGTCATTATGGCCAGACAGTTCCATTTGTATTTCATCAGACCAGAGGACATCTCTCCAGGAAGTAAGATCTTTGTGCCCATGTACAGCTGCAAACAGTCACCTGGCTTTTTTTATGGCAGTTTTGGAGCAGCGGCTTCTTCCTTGCTGAGCAGGCTTTCAGGTCATGTCGATATAGGAAACGTTTTACTGTTGATACAGAGACTTTTGTAACCGTTTCCTCCAGCATCTTCACAACGTCGTTTGTTTTGTATTTTTCGCACCAAAGTATGTTTATTTTTAGGAGACAGAATGCCTTCCTGACCCATGCGATGGCTGTATGGTCCCATGTTGTTTAAACTTGCATACTATTCTTTGAACGTGGATGAACGTGGTACCTTTGGGAATTGCTCCCAAGGATGTACCAGACTTGTGGAAGTCCACAGTTCTTTTTCTGATGTCTTGGCTGATTTTCTTTTATTGTCCCAAGATTTCAAGCAAAGAAGCAAGTAGGCCTTGAAGGTAGGCCTTAAAATACTGCCACGGGTGCACCTCCACCTAACTCAAATGATGTCAATTAGCCTAAAGCCATGTTATCGTTTTCTGGAATTTTCCAAGCTATTTAAAGGCACAGTCAACTTGGTGTATGTAAACTTCTGACCCACTGGAATACGGATACAGTGAATTATAAGTGAAATTATCTGTTTGTTGGGACATTTGTTGGGAAAGCTGCTTGTGTCATGTACAAAGCAGATATCCTTAATAACATGTTAAAACTAACTATAAGTGGTTGACATGGAATCTGTGGAGGGAATAAATATGAGCTTTAATGACTTCAACCTAAGTGTATGTATACTTATCACTTCAACTCTATGTACTTTGACAAAAAAGTGCTCAACGATTTCTCATTAGGTTGAGCAAGACTTTTGCTGGTGTTCTATGAAACTTACACAGCCTCACAACAGTTGCTCCAAAAAATAAACATTTCAAGGTGGCGCACGGATAGATCAACTGCCTAATGAGCTCAATCAGATCAATTAAAAATGCTGACATGTATAAAGCACAGTGTTAATTATGATTTGTAATATATTATGGCATAACATTTTAAAGGGGTGAATAATGCTTTGTTTCAAAATCATGAAATGGTTCTTAAGAATGAATGGACTGTGTTTGTGTGTGTGTGTGTGTGTGTGTGTGTGTGTGTGTGTGTGTGTGTGTGTGCGTACCTCCATAGGATATATAATAGTCTGTGCAGTGGCTCCTGCTAGTGATCCTGCGATGAATCTCTCCTGCACTTTTAGACTGCCTCCATCTTTACTGCCATGTATCAGCCTCTTAATCTGCAGAGAGAGGCATGTGGGTGGGAGAAGAAAGGAGGACAGGAGGGAAAAATGGATTTAATGTTACCCACGGAAGAGTCAGTTAAAATTGTTATAACAGTAGTTCACAAAAAAGAAAAAAAACTCAAACATTTACATAATTATCCTCTAATCCCAAATATATTAAATCATCCAAGACATGTTTGATGTCTGAAGTTCGCTTGTTTTGTTTTGCACTGGAGCTCTGAGGCTAATGTTGCTATGAAGCAATGGGAGGTTATACCTCACTGATTAGCATTGTGCTAACTGTGGGCCTAAATCTTTAAACACTTGTTTCAAACCCTGTTGAGTTGTTACACTGTTATCTATAAAAACAGACAAAAGCTCTTAGTATAACTAAAATCAGTCCTTATTGTTGTTGATTTCTATACAGTCGTATGCAAAAGCTTCCATTAAATTATTTCCATGTTTTGTTGATTTTGTAAGTGAAAATAAGTTAGAAAACAATAAGACAATATAAGAAAACACTGCTGCACATTTTAATACACAATTACTGTTTATTTGCTGAATTTAACATTTTGAAAAAAAAAAAATTAATAATAAAATTGTGCCCTAACTTTCGCACAGGCCAGATTTTATGTTATTTTTTTCCCTTATATGTTAATTTCAGCAAATAAACTGTAATTGTGAATTAAAACTGTGTTTTCTGTAAAAGATGTGTTAACAAAACATGTAATTTGAACAAGAGCACACAAACGTTTTCATACGACTGTACTCAACAGTATTTCACATCAGCCAGGACTCTATGTGAGTGTGTATGAGTGATCAAGACAGACAGAACCACTGACCTGTTCATACGCGAGGAACTTGATGGCTGTTTCTGGGGCGATTTTGAGGACATTAATTCCATTTCCCCTCCAAAGGGCTCTGAGCCCACCCTCCTTTACCATGTCCTTTAGACCTTTCCACACGCTGCCCTTATCAGAGCTCTGACCATGAACCTACACACATACACCAAATATTAATATAAACACACACCATAAACACTCATTATCCGAGCCCTGAAGGTCACCCTGCACACAGGTGCTCTGCAAACATTAACAACTGCCTTAAGTCAACAGCATACCTGCTTATCAGAACTCTGACTGCGTACCTCAACACACGCTTGTATTACTGTATGTGTTACATTACCCCTTTACTGAAGCTAACTGATCTGTTTTGTAAAATATAATCTGAAGATTTGTGAGTGAAAAAAAGCATTCTTCCTTGTGAAGAGCAGCCAAGCGTCCCCACAATGACAAAAGGTCGATGTCTTCATCATCCTGGGCATATTTGGTCCTCGTGAAGTGATAAATACACATACATAGACCCGTGAAGTTGTGTGTCATGCCCATAGGAACTCCAGATTTAAGCAGATTTCTCTATGGGCGAAATGGTGTTTTTGAAAATCACCGCTATTACGTCCTGTAATAAAAAAAAACAAAAACGCTCTAAAACGGATACGCTTTTGTTCTGTGCACATTTTTCTCCAGAATGTCACTGAATCCTCTAAATCAGGGGTGTCAAACTCAACCACTAAAAGGGCCATATTAAAAAACCTCAGCAAATCCATGGGCCAGCTATTTAATTTTTACTTTAACATTTCGCCATGACCCAAACTGGCCATTGTTTATTCAAAATATGCCAAAAGTGCAACAGCAAAATAGACATTGAATACTTACTCAAAAATAATTCTAAATAAAAATAAATTGTTTTGGGTACTTTTTGCTTGACTAGACACCAGGCATCTTTTCTTTTTGTGTAACTGCAGGCCCACATATTGTTGCTGGGGGTCAGAAGGCACATTATGTTGCAGTGCCCCATGGGGACTGTAGTTCATCTCAGGGTGAAACGGGATAATTTCGTCTGCCAAATAGAACTGTGTCACAAGAGAAAAGTGAACAGATGAAGGTTCTGACCTGTAGGAAGACTTTGAGTCGGTCCAGTGGGAGCTGTGCCTGTTCTGGACACAGATCCAGCCATTGCTCCGGCCATCAGCTGCCTCCACACAAACCCTGACTTTCGCTCCTTCTCTGAGAACTCATCAGGAACCGTCAGGTGCTCTCCAATGTCCAAGATCTACACACACACAATGCATATGTCAAAGGAGGAATGGCTGAAGAAGAGAGAAAGATTTAGACAGACAAGCATAGAGAGAGAAATTCAATGTTATCCCTCTCTGGCCTGATCACATTTACCACCCAAACGCTGTTCAGAAGTAGAACAGATTATTATGCTGCATTATCTGGAATGGTCAACTTATCATATGCGCTCTGCTCCATATAATGAGCCTAGTTTCACACTGTTGTGTCTCTACTGTATAGTAACTTTGAGCATTTTTCCACGGCACGTTCAAAAACAAAAACCGACCGAAACTAGAACCAACGGAACTTATGTTTCTAGTTCTAGAAGCTGGAACTGCCAGTATAACAGCGATTAATGATTTAATTTTCTTTGTCATTTTATGCTATAATGCTTGCTTGTTTATCGGATGAAATTACATGACTCTGCGCCGTTCTGTGCTCAAACAAACACCCATAATTACACAGAAATGAAGTGTGAAAATATGAGCAAAACCTGTTCTCCTAAACGCTGATATTACTTTATGTCCAGGTTTGCTTTTACTAGGTGATGATTCTAATGTAACTAAAATTCACAGCAAAAAAGAGTTTTAATGGCAGCATGAACAAAAAGTCCACTCTGAAGGGTTGGTTTATGCCAAATAGTCTTTACCTTGTCATTGCTATTTTTTAGATTCTTGTTTTGGAACGGGCTACAACTAGATTTCACAAGGTGAAGGCTGCCACAATTCAGGATTGGTCAAATGCAATAGCTTTGTGGGGCCAGAGTATTCTAATTTAGTTTAATGTTTCTTTTATATTTCATTGTTTGATTGCTGGTCTATGGGCATGATGCGGATACTAACATAACACCCCCCCCCCCAAAATGTCTGTTTGTGTTTTTTGTGTTGCATTTATATATATATATATATATATATATATATATACACACACATTCTGGGGCACTTACTGGTGATGTAATAGTGCTCAGTGAACTTATCATCACTTGTAAGAATAAAGACTTGTCATTGGCTTCTGCTGTGTTACTAAACACAGAGGAGAACATCCTAAAGTACCATTAGATCTTGTTGGTACAAATCTTGAACAGGCATCAAAAGCCATGAAACTGGAATCTTTGGTTCTGGTCCAGTGGCCAACAGAAAAAGAACAGTTCTGTTTATCCAGTGCCAAAAATTCTGGCATTTTATGCAGTGGAAAAATGCCCTTAGTGTATTGTACTGCAGAATCTTGCATAATTGCACTGTGTGTAGTCTATGTGTTGGTCCCTTGTACCATGTGGTCAAGTAAACACTGGGCATACACACCGATCTGGCATAAATTATGACCACCTCCTTGTTTCTACACTCATTGTCCATTTTATCAGCTCCACTTACTATATAGGTGCACTTTGTAGTTCTACAATTACAGACTGTAGACTGTTCTTCAGTGGTCAGGACCCCCATGGACCCTCACAGAGCAGGTACTATTTGGGTGGTGGATCATTCTCAGCACTGCAGTAACACTGACGTGGTGGTGGTGTGTTAGTGTGTGTTGTGCTGGTACGAGTGGATCAGAGCAGTACTGCTGGAGTTTTTAAACACTGTGTCCACTCACTGTCCACTCTATTAGACACTCCTACCTTGTCAGTCCACCTTGTAGATGTAAAGTCAGAGACGATAGCTCATCTGCTGCTGCACAGTTTGTGTTGGTCATCCTCTAGTCCTTCATCAGTGGTCACAGGGCGCTGCCCACAGGACACTGTTGGCTGGATATTTTGGTTGGTGGACTATTCTCAGTCCAGCAGTGACACTGAGGTGTTTAAAAACTCCAGCAGCACTGCTGTGTCTGATCCACTCAGACCAGCACAACACACACTAACACACCACCACCACATCAGTGTTACTGCAGTGCTGAGAATGATCCTCCACCCAAATAGTGCCTGCTCTCTGAGGGTCCATGGGGGTCCTGACCACTGAAGAACAGGGTAAAAGAGGTCCAACAAAGTATGCAGAGAAACAGATGGACTACAGTCTGTAACTGTAGAACTACAAAGTGCACCTATATAGTAAGTGGAGCTGATAAAATGGACAATGAGCGTAGAAACAAGGACCTGGTCATAATGTTATGCCTGATCGGTGCATATATGACAAATAAAGACGCCTATTCAGCTGTATACAGGATAAGAGTGGGATGACAAATTATGTTGTGTCTTAATCTTGAACTTGTCTGTGTAGATTATGAATCAGTGTGTAGGAGTATGTTTGAATGTGGTACGACTGACCACAGAGCGCTTCCAGTAGTGAGCGATGTCCTCCATGCTGTGCAGAGGGTTAAACAGAAAATGGTCGCGCCACTCCACCCAGTCGATGGTCATAGTGCCGTCTTTATCCATACTGAAAAAAAAAAAAACGCAAAAACATAGCTACATAAAAGGAAATGCCATAATGACATCTTTGTCTACATAATAACATAAACGTAGATAAGAAAATTACATAGATAAGATACATAGATAAACATAGATAAGAAACTACATATTACTATTATGTCCTCCTTATCAGTGCTGTAAAAGGAGTCTCTAAACAAACACACACACACACACACACACACACACACCTTTGTAGGATTTTGGATGCTTCCTCATAAGTAACATCCACTCCTACAGCGTGTAATGACAGCTGGATCTCTCCGACATCTATCTGACCTGAAAAACAAACCCAGAAACAAACGTGTACACAATCAGACTGTGTTATGCATGATCGCACTTATGCAGCCCTCTCTAATAACAGAACTCTGGACTCTAAAGGGGCAATTACAGGGCTAACACTAACTCTAATGCAGAAGGCAACACTGTGGGTGGAGGTGCTAACCGTCGTTGTTTGCGGTCCAGGCCGCTGAACATGAGTCTAAGGCGTTTCTCATGTGTGCACAGGTACTGCGTGAACTCCTCAAAGTCCAGCTGGCCATCTTGATTAGTGTCCCCCGCTCGAACAATCTGCTGTGGGACAGGGCAGAAGAGAAGAAAAGAGAAGAGAAAAAGAAGGAGAGGGACAAAGAGAAAGAGCAGGAGAAGGTGGGGGGAAGGAGGGAGGCCCAGATCGATTAGGAATGGAGGGATGAGGAGGGGAAGGGGAGCAGGGCGAGGAGAAAAGCGAGTTACACGATGCAAAGCTGAGGTCACACAGGCCACATGACCCTCCACCATGCTAATAGCCAACAATGTCCACCCAGAAGACATTCAGAACCAGGAGAACGCAGCAGCACATCAACACGCTGCTAATGATCAACATTTTAGTTCATCAGAAACATATCGCTGCTGACGGAACAAAACCTCGTATCTCCGAAATGGTAACTTTACAGGAGAAATAAAAATCATACTTTACTTTTAATGTAAGTCAGTGGAACCAGAATTTGTTCCAAGTCATTTTGGGTTGTTTCTTTTGGTCCATTCATCATGAAATGTAAAGGACAACAGGTATTTTCAAATTATGTCAAAAACTGGAAAACGTCAAAAATGGAGATACAAGGTTTTCTTCTGACAGCAGCGACATAACCAGGCAAACAGGCTGAGGAGCCGAGAGGCTTCACACTGAGGAACATGGAGTCAGAAAGGAATAGATTCATAAATAAATTTGCAGTTTCCTCTTTACTCTAAATGTAGTTCATCAGGTATGTCTGGTGTCTTAAGTCTGATTCTTTAGTTTGACACTGGAGCTATGAGGCTCATGTAGCTAACAAGTAATGGAAGATTATACCAGAGCCGGTTTATGAGGAGTCTGGCCTCTTCCTATTTCCTCCGTTGTATCAAAAAACAGGACTGCTAAACAGCAGAGGGCGCCCGTGAGCGAGTCCTCAATGAACGGGAGTGAATGGCTCAACGGCTAAAAACAAAAAATTTTAAATAGTTTCTAATCACTTTCCTTTAATTTTAGAAAGTAGAAGGATGTATTTCACTAAAAAAGAAGAAATCTCACCTGTATGTTTCCTTTTTCTACAGAAAACGGGTTTTTGGCAGCAGAAGGTGGGCATTACTGCTAGAGCGTGATGATTGATTGGCGAGCGGAGCAGCTCATTGGTTGTTTGCGCTCACTGACGTCATGAACGTACATGAGGCACCGTTTTAAACTCCTATAACTTGAGTTTAAAAGCTCTTAAAAACATAACAGCGGTGTTAAAATGTTTTATGCTGCTCTGTATTCAGGAAATGATTCTATTCTTTTACATTAAAAATGTTTAAGCGTTTATAAACTATGATTTTGCTCAAATGCTCCATATCAACCCATTCATTCTGGACTCTAGTGTTTGAGAAAGCCAGAAGAAATTGCAGAGTGGGAATTCTCTGCTTATACCTCACCGACTAGCATCATGCTAACTGCATGACATCACATGCTTGCCACAAATGGTGTTGAGCTGTTGTGTAATCTCTAATAAACTGTGGTTTCTGACATGCTACTTTCAGCAAACAAGGACAAAAGTGCCTTAGCATTGCTAAAAAACAGTATTTTTACAGTATATTTTTATGTATTTTGCTTTATTTTTATACACTGTTTGTTATACAGTTAGCAAGTCTATATTCCACCATCTAGCATCTGCAGTTTGCGCCAAACATGTCTTACCTGATTGTCAACATTTAGAGTAAGAGAACATTTAAATTGCCAATTATTATCCTATAATGATCAACCAGTTAGATAATCCTTATTTCTACTACAACACCCAGAGGAATGCTGAATTACATGTGTTGTGGAAAACCTCTTCTGTATATTACACCCACTCTGCTTGTAGGCCTTTCAAAATCTATGTATCATCCTGATACAGTTCTGGCATCTGACCTTTAGCTCTCGTGTCTAGACACTTTTACTTACTGTACTGCCTGTTTAATGCTTCGTTTAAAGGTGCGATATACTGACTTGAGATTCACAACACTTAATTCAACAATCCGTCTATCTATACAAACAACACAGCCACTTTTATTTGAAAGCCTAACAAAATCTCTCACCATGCAAATTTAACCCCAGGCAGTATTTACATATCAGGTTGCCCAAACCTTTTTGGCACGGAGGACTGATATGCAGCCTGAGCCAAACAGTTCTGTATTGCACAACACAAGCCAGCGTGTAAAACCCGCATTATTACTGGAGCAGGAAAAGTCTGGCCTGGCAGCCCAAACAAACACTCTTCACAGCCAAATCTGTCCTGCGGGTCACGTTTTGGGCAGCCCAGGTTTATCAGTATGAATGGGGATAAGCAGAGACTATGACTAAAAGAATACTTCACCCAAAAAAGGAAAAGACTATTAATAATACATCCAAGCTGATGTCGTCAATTAGGATTCAGTACAAATGAAATCATAGTAGCTGATCCCCACTCGCTAGCAGCTGTGTTAGCATGTTCGGGGTTGTTTTCTTGAATTTCTGGTTATTAGTCTTATTAACTAGGCTCACTTGCTGCAGTGTCAAAGTCATGAAGTGTCTTAAGTTTGCTTCTTTAGTTCTGCCTTAACTAACAAGTAATGGAAGCTCGTACCCCTTGAATTAGCACTGCATGCCTAAATCATCACACAGCTGTCGTAAATAGGGTATAACTCTTGCGTGACGCTGTATGACATACTGGTATTTATAAAAATGGTCAAAAGTACAACCAAAAAAGTTGGGACGCTGTGCAGAATGTAAATAAAAATAGGATGCAATGATCTGCAAATCACGTAAACCATATTTTTAAAGGAAAATATTACAAAGAAAACATATCAAATGTTGAAACTGAGAAATTTTATTGTTTTTTGAAAAACATATGCCCATTTTGCATTTGATGACAACAAACGTTCCAAAAAAGTTGGGACGGGGGCCTGTTTACCACTGTGTTTCATCACCACTTCTTTTAACAACACTCTGTAAGCGTTTGGGAACTGAGGAGACACTGCTGTAGTTTTGAAAGTGAAATGTTTTCCTGTTCTTGTTTGATATTAGATTTCAGCTGCTTATCAGTTCTTTTAATGTTATTATGTACTGCAGATGATGAAAAGCAAAAGTTCTTTGCTATGAATTGTTGCACTATTTGATCGTGCAGTCTTTCAGAGTGGTGAACCCCTCCCCATCTTTACTTCTGAAAGACTCAGCCTCTCTGAGATGCTCTTTTATACATTATCATGTTACTGACCTGTTGTCAATCAACCACCAGGTGTTTTTTTAGCATTACACAACTTTCCCAGCCTTTTGTTGCCCCCCATCCCAACTTTTTTGGAACGTGTTGTTGGCATCAAATTCAAAATGGGCAAATATCTTTCAAAAAACGATAAAATTCCAGTTTCAACATTTGACATGTTGTCTTTGTGCTATTTTCAATGAAATATAGGGTTTAAATGATTTGCACTTCATTGCATTTTGTTTTTATTTACATTTTGCACAGCGTCCCAACTTTTTTGGAAATGCGGTCGTACACTGCACAGCTATAAACAGTAGTAGCTGTAACCTGGACACTGGTACTGATACTGACTAACTCTTATATAAACCCTGTGAGATGCCTTTACTCTTTAAACAGTCGCCCCAGCCTGTAGCTGCGTTCTCTACAGAGCCGCGCTGGAACACAGCGGACCGGAGAACCGGCCTGTCACAGTGTGGGTGATAATTAGCAGTCTGGTATGTGTGGGTTAAAAACGCGAGCGTGTAGGAGATTTAACACATTTAAATGGTGCTCTGTCTCCGTCTCTCCCTCCTTCCTCCATCTCACTCTCGATCGCTCTCTTTTCTCTCCCTCTTTCATCCCTCTCTACCACTCTCTCCCCTTTTTCTCTCTTTAGTTTTTCCCTCTCTCTCCTTTGTTCCTTGTCCCTTTTTTCCTTTTCCTTTCTTTCCCTCTCTCTTTTCCTCTCCTTCTTTCTTTTCCCTATTACTCTATCTCTCTTTCCTCAATCTTTTTACCCCATCTCACTCACCCTTTCTCTTTCTCCTGTCTTTTTTCACGTCCCCTTTCTTTTTTTCCTCAGTCTTGTTTGTTTCTTTTTTCCCCTCTTTCTTTCTTTGCTCCTCTTTGTTTCATCACTCTCTTTTTTTTATATCTTGCCTTATTGTATCTCTCTTCACTACCTCTCTTTTTTGGTCTCCCCTTTTCCACTCTCCCCTCCTTCTTCTCTCCCGTTTGTCCTTGTGTCTTCTTTCTTTCTTTCACTTACTTTCTTACTTCTTTGTTTCCTCTCGCTTTTTTCCACTCTCTCAATCCTTCACCACCTCTCACTTGCCCTTTCTCTGTTCTCTCTCCGTCTTTCCTCCCTTTCTGTTTCTTCTCCCTTCTTCCCCCTCTCTCGCTCTCTTTCTGTTTCTTCTCACTTGCTCTCCACTCTCACTTGCCCTTTCTGTCGTCTCTCTCCGTCTTTCCTCCCTTTCTCTGATTCTTCTCCCTTCATCCTTCTCGCTCTGTCTCTCTCTCCACTATCTTTCTTTCCACACGCTCTCTTATGTCTCTCTTTCCTCGCTTTCCCTCTTTTTTCTTTCCCTCTCTCTTTATCCCTTCCCTCATCCCTCTCTCACTCTTCTCACTTCTCTTGCTTTCTTTCTCTTACTCTCTGGTTCTTCTCCTTCTTTCTTTCTATCTTTCTTTCTCTCCCTCTGTTTTCTCTCCTTCTTTCTTTCTTTCCCTGTTTCCTCTCCTTCTTTCTTTCTCCTTCTCTCTCCCTGTTTCCTCTCCTTCTTTCTTTCTTTCTATCTTTCTTTCTCTCCTTTTGTTTCCTCTCCTTCTTTCTTTCTTTCTCTCCCTCTGTTTCATCTCCTTCTTTTCTATCTTTCTTTCCACACTCTCATTTATCTCTCTCTTTATCTCTTTCTTCATTTTCTCTTTTTTTCTCTGTCTTCTCTTTTCATTTATCTCTCTCCCTTTATACCTTCCCTCTCTCTTTTTCTCCTTCGTCCTTCTCTCTCTTCTCACCTCTCATGCTTTCTTTCTCTCCCTCTCGGTTTCCTCTCCTTCTTTATCTCTTTCTATTTTTCCTTTCTCTCTCACTGCTCTTTG